ATCATTAATAAATGTTTACGTATTAAAAGTATTTTTTTTAGCTACATCAATTGAATACTATAAATAGTTTTAAATTTACAATTTTATTTTTGATTAGCTGCAGAATTATTTAGTAAAATATTTTATATATTATTGTCAATTAAAACCTAATTAGGCTGAAATGTTGCAAGGCGAAGGCTATTTAACTGTATCTAAATGCAGCCTAATTTAATATAATTTAAAACTGCATTTAAATGCAATTTAAGCACAAATGCTGCCTCTATAATAGACATTTCCTTTGTACAATATTCACTTTTATTTTACATATATAAATACCATAGCATATGTTTGCACATCATATTTTCTCTGCTGACCATTTCAATTAGGTTTCTGTTTATTTTGGTTGCAATTTAAACAATTAATGTCAAGCCAGGCAGACGAAGAGCGATATAATTGTGTTTCATACTTCAACAACTTGAGCTAATCAAATTAATTGAATTTCAGCTCATTGGCTTTGTCTTAGCATGAAAAATCTATGAAATATATACACTTATTATTTATATAAAAATATATATTAAAAGTATTTCGAAATCTAAAATAAATACATAATATATGAACTATGTTACAACAACAACAACGAAAACAACAACAACAACAATAGTGGGCATTTTGCGTGGGCGTCACAAAAATAGCTGGCAAAACGAAATATTTATATAGAAAATCGCTTTTGTATTGCATTTTCGTTGCCGACTCGTTATCCACCTGCGGCATTCAACATCATTATGATCTTCATAGCTGTCCATTTTAATATATTTTTGATATACAAATATACATACATACATACATGCATATATCTGTATTTTTAGCGCAATTTTCATTATTAACTAAAAACTGTCAGACACACGCAGACGCAGACACACACGCAGACACACACACACACAGTCACACACATACACCTGCAAAAGCCACACAGCCCATGTGCATTTGAATGTCAGTCTGCCAGAGTGAGCGGGATGGCGAGAGGCAGCAGCAAGGCAGAGCGGAAATTTCGTATAGTGTTGGAAGCTGTCAACATTTTGAAATGCAACAAGTTGCAAGCAACAAAATGGCGGAAACGTGTCGCTGTCGGCGTCGCTGTCGCCGTCGCTGCCGCCGTCGGCTTTGACGTTGCATCAAAGTTTCTTTTGTCGCTCATCGAGGGCCGCCTCTAAATTTCTGAAATGATTTATGCATTTTTAAACGCAACTTTAAACTTTTTTATTGCTTTGAGAGTTGCAGCTGGAGCAGGAGCTGGAGCAGGAGCAGGAGCAGCATCCTAATTGTGGCAAACTTTTGCACAGGCTTCATATCCTGCTTCGGCTGTGATAGCATGTCCTGCCTGGCAGTCAGCCTGTCTCTGTGTGCGTGTGTGTGTTTGGTGAGCCGCCTGTCCCATTGGCGTTGTCCCTGTCGCTGTTCATTGACTTTGGCAGCAACAAGAGCCAGGACACCGTTGTGCACAGACAGGACACACAGACACATGCACAGGCTCACGTACATACTACACGCACTGTGACTTTGTTTTTAATACACTCCAGTGGCCGTTGCATCGATCGAGCTATGGACAAACAAGGCGTCAGCCGTTGCCGTTGCCGTTGCCGTTGTCTGCCAGCCGCAGTTCATTACTCCTCCAGCCATCTACTGTTCCTCTCTCTCCCTCCCTCTCTCTCTCTCTCTCTCTCTCTCTCTCTCTCTCTCTCTCTCTCTCTCTCTGTCTCACTCACTCTGCACCTCTTTTTGTCCATGTGTGCACTGACTTTTCATGCTCATATTTTGCGGCATGTCTTGCCACGCAACGCCGTGTGTTATCCACTTGGCGCACGTCAAGCCCTGACAAAGATTATCAATAACCCAGCCAGAGACAGAGACACGCTGTCCTCGGCTCGACTGCAGCAAAAAGGATATTGGCCAACGTCTCGCTACTTGTTACGCCGCCTTAATCCAATATCCACATCAATATCAATCGCCAATGCAATAGCCCAGCCACATTTTGTTTACGAGTGACACCATTTCTATGGCAGCCTTCGTCATCGATTAAACGTTAAATTGTTATTATCATATTTAGCGAACGCCGAGTTTGCAGGGCTCAATCAGCGGAAGCCGTAGTAATGGGCTGGATGAAAAGAGTGTATACTCTAGGGGTATATATAAGGGATATTTCAGAGTATGAGATCTTGGAATATATCTGAATAAGAATAAATATAGGTATTGTAGTAGGTCAACAGAGATGAACTTACTATATCGAGTCCTAATCGATTCATAATCGATACTTAACTCTAATGCCGTCGATACCTAACGATAGTGCCATCAATAGAAAAAGAAGAAGATTCATGCTTAACTACAAAGCAAAGGCGAGACTTTAGCAATTTCAGTCACCCATAACTTAACAAGTGGCGTTGCCAGATCGCTAGCGTAGCCTATGCACGCCCATTGTCCATCTCAAGGCCTAACATATTTGCGCACTTTCAATCGGGTTCATCGTCAACTGCTTGAGAATTCTATGCTAACCCATTCGCTGTTAGAGTATAGCAGCTGAGGCCGGCGTCTGTTTTATGTTGGAGGACTGGGGCAACGCATAAACATATTCGTGCGCCGGGATGTTTGGCATTTTGGGCTCCCACAAGCCGCATCATCATAATTTTTTGAAGGCGATGTGGCAGGAAGTGGCCCGTTGAAAATATGCTAAGCGCAGAGGTGCGAGTGCTGGAGTTGGGGCCAACGACCGTGGGGCAACCTTGTCATATCCTGTTGACGCTTGCCGCTCAGGTGGCCTCTTTGTCTCTGCTCCGCGGCGGAAGTGTGAAATATTTTTAGAGCGCTTTTTTTTCCTACTTGTATTATTCCTTTATTTTTATTTTTTTTATTCCCACTTTTTTTTTTTGCCTTCTTCAGATGGAATTTTTGCGCTCGAGCGTATTTTATTGGCATTTTGCAGCAAATTTGTGGCCGTGCGCCATGAAAATGCCATGAAAATTGCTTTCCACACACACACAAACACTCTCACAGGGAAATTTTCATATTACATTTTCTCGCAACAATTTGCGTGCAGCTGGAAAATGTTGTTGTTGTTGTTGCTGGGAATTTTCGTAATTGATTTAGCCAAATTGTAAAAATGAATCAAAGCAGCGGCCATTAATTCGTGCCTCACAACATGTCCTGCCAATGCAACGAGGACACCGATTGCCAATTGCCATTTGTCCATTGCCCGTTGCCCGTTGCCCGTTGCCCAATTGCCAATTGGCACTTTTGACAGCCTTTTCATTTTCATTTTGGGCACGTTGCATAAATTGGTGGCAGCTTGCATAATTATGCGTCGCTTGTCAATGCATTTGCATGCGTTTGCGATTTGACCATTTTTCCCAACCAAGTTTACACCAGAGACTTGCCAAACGTTTGTGGCATTTTAGCAAAATTCAATTACCAATTAGAATTACATTTAAAGCAGGCCAAGAGATGAAGGGGTAAAAAGGGCTTTCCTGGATTCGCGTGAAGGATATCAGGAGAGGAAGACGAAGATGCCCGCATGGGGCATAGATATTAGATATTATTAGATAGATATAGTTGAGACCATATAGTACATATGTACATATCAAAAATAATACTTTCCCTTGCTCCTCTCGCTAGCTTTATAGAGACTGTTGCAGTTGAATAAGTTTTTGATCCACGCACAATGTTGCCTGCCAATGACACAGAGGCGAAGAAATAATTGCTGTAAATTCCACGCCTGTCAGCGGCAAAACACAATTTAACGGCATTTTCATTACAGCTGCCAAAGGTGCATGTCGCACTTGTACTATGCCTATATAAATATATTTATACATTGTATATACTTGTGCTTGTTCAGCTAATTAAATCAACTAAAAATGTGAAATAAAAAAGTGATGCCAGCTACAATTGATGTTGTTGTGTGTTGTCTGCCACGCACACACACACCAACACACAGCACACTGCATACGCACACCCCTTTGGGGTCTTTGAGTTGTTGATGCTTGAATATTTGGGTCAATTATGCGATTTGTCGCGCCGCAGACACAACACGAGGTACATCCAAGCCAATTCATCAACTGCCCCCACCCCAATCTGTCACTGGCATTGAATTGCCGGCGTGTGGGCGTGGCCAGGTGGGCGGTGTTGGTATCGCTGTCTTTGGCAGCCGCACAGCGGTTTGCCTTTTGCGTAATTATTTGTCAAATTCACACGGCGCTCTGGTCACTAACGAGCAACAGGCGCAGCTTCTTCTTGCCAGCCAATCAACACCCAATATGAGCCCCCAGGCCCGACCCCACATCAATCAGACGTAAAGCTCATTATGTGACTTATTCATATTGTATATGATTTGCACATCCGTTCGACTAACGGAAGTTGTTATCAATATCAGAAATACAGTTGGTAATCAACAACAAAATAGTTAAGATAACAGCCTATTATGAATATTTTTTGGTTCCGCCCAAAAGTATGCAACAAATAGTTGAGCCATATACATATATATGTAATATTAATAATAAGACAAACATTTGTTTCTTTTATTTACAAATTTTATATATCATTTTTATTTATTTGTTTTACTCTTGTAACAGTAAATTATGTGTTAATATAAATAAATTGTGGTAATAAAAAGAAGCACAGTTTGGCAAAAGTTAATTTTGCATTTCCCTAACGCTGTCATATCTATAAATATACATATACATATGCATGTATCTCTGTGTGAAGTCTGTTTACTATACATGTATGCATGTATGTATGTATATATATTTAGTGTACATTAATTGCAGAATTAAATAAATTATTTCATGAAAAAATGCGTACAAAAAGCTTTACATATAACAATTGAATTATTAATATTATTTTTATTGTTTATTGCACACATTTGGAAGCACAATAATTATAAATTATGTTTAATAATTAAGTTTAATTTTAATAAAGAAATGTATCAACTGTTGCTCGTGTGAAGAGGGGCCAAATTCACTCTGGTTCGGTTTTTAATTTTTACTGTGTTTATTTATAGGCATGTGCAACAAAAATTTGTTCGATTTGATAAGCGAGTAGTCTAGAAGCCGTTATCATTTCGCATTGGTTTGCGCTTCAAATCATCTAGATTTATTTACAATTAATTATAGCTTTTTATTTGTATTCGAATTTCCAGGGAAATTCTAAACGCATTTGTCATCCAAAAGTTGTTGCTGAACTACGTTGTGCTTAGACACATGTGTCTACACACACACACATACATATGCTGTTTATGTTTGTCAGCTATGGCCCCCCACACACTCACGCACAGATACAACTAGAACAACACCAACAAATATGAATACTTTGCTCTCGTGCGTGACAATCAATGAATGGGTCGCCTCCTACTCACACGCAAACACACACACACGCACGCAGCCATATACGTATTTATATATATGTAACTGTAATTGCTACTGTTACTAAAGCGAATCATTTTTTCATTCTTTTGCAAGCTTTGTTTGCTCTCCCTTACTCAGCTCGCTGCACTTTCTGTTTCTTCTTTTTTTTTTTTGTTTCCCCTCCCATTTTCCCTCAACCCATTTAGAGAATTTGGCACTTGCGTTTGCGTGTATTGCGTATGGGTGGGCATAGGACAGAGCGTATGGCCTCATCGAATACCGTTTTCAGACCCTTTTGCGTTAGGGCAGAGCACTCTAAATATTTGACCGCCGCTATTTCCTTGGCCATGGCCAAGCCCTGTGGATAGGTGATTGGCGTTAACTTCTTATCCTTCAGTTTCTCAATTGTCTGCTTATCGTCGCGCAGATCGAGCTTCGTGCCGACGAGTATAATTGGTACATTGTTGCAATGGTGACGCACCTCGGGAAACCATTTGGCGCGCACGTTCTCAAAGGAGGCGGGATTCACCAGCGAGAAGCAAATGAGAAACACATCCGTTTGCGGATAGGACAAAGGTCGCAGCCTATCGTAATCCTCCTGTCCGGCCGTATCCCATAGACCGAGATTAATCGGCTTCGCATCGACCATCACATTCGCTGAATAGTTATCGAATACAGTTGGTATATATTCGCCGGGGAAGGCGTTCGTTGTATAGCTGATCAGCAGGCAGGTCTTGCCCACGGCGCCGTCGCCAACAACAACACATTTGATTGCCTGCATGACGTCGTCTCAGTTGTTGGTGTTGTTGTTGCTTTAGTTTCTTTATGTATCTTTGCACTCACACAGCAGTGCGAGGGAGGCAGCGAATTCAACAAGTTTTGGCGATTATACAACTCGCGTATCTACTTTTTGCTCACGCACGAGCACAGATATACACATAAACACGTAGACGAAAACACACGCGCAGTTGTGTATATGTATTTGCATGTGCAGTTAATCTATTCGATTAGTTTTTTGCTATAGTTCTGCCCTTTTTTCAGTTCACTTGTTGGCAAAATTAAATTGTCCGCATGGAGAAATTTCGTACGAGCAGCTTAATAAAAACACACCCAAACGCTGTGAAATCGACACAGTCACTGAGCGAACAAAACGATCCAGCCAGCGTTGAGCGTCAGAGCGTCAGAGAGCATAAAACAGAAAATAAATTGTGTTGCTATCGTTGTTGTTTTTGTTGCTGACTCTGGCTCTGGCCTAACAGCTGCACTCACAGCACTCAAACACACTAGCTGTCTCTGTCGCTCGCCTTTGTGTTTACCTGCTTGGGCAAAGTATGCCGCGCACGCTCCCACACACAAAGCAGCAACAGCAAGACAGACAAACAGTGGCGTCGAACACAGCGTGTCAAGTGCTCACACGCTGCGTGTGACTCATCAGTTGTTCATGACGTTTCAAAGAGAGCGAGCGGAGTACGGAGAGCAGTGAGTTAGCAATGAATGAGCAGAGAGCAATTTAAAGAGAGTGAGAGGCAGCGCGTTAGTCGCTCTTCGCGTTCACTTGACCTTGCTTTGGTCTTATTTGATGTGAATTTTCTTCTAAATATGTGCGTTCGCTTTCCACGAATTTTTCTTGTGTGTATTGTTTTTGTTGTTGCTGTTGCTGTTGCTGTCGTTGCTACTGGTGCTGTTGCTGTTGTTGTCGATGACTGTTTTAATGGACCGCAAAAATGCATGCGTTTGCACAATATATCGACACAATCGGCACCGCAACCAAAAACCTAAATCGAACAAACCCAACAACAAGCCAAAACCAAAATCCGCATTCGCATCCGCGATAGCCAAAAATGCAAAACGCAAAGCGCTTGTTCGTGCATGTTTCCGCAGCACTGACCACGCCTCCCCTCGCCAACCGCCCATCCACCCACTCGGCGAAAATTGTTAAAGCAGCGCATTTTCATTTTCAATTTCATTTTCAATTTGAACTTCAACGAATCGTGAAATATTTTCACAATTTTTCAACTTTATTTCTTTAATTGGATAATTAAATAGGCTCTACAAATTGCTTGTTTATAAATAAAATTCACATAAATACTTTAAGTGAATAATGAAATTATAATTTTAAAAAATGTAATTATGTAATTGCTAAAGTACAGAAAATAAACTTTGTGGTTGATCGATAGCCTGATTTATTTCTTTTATAAATATAAATATGGTTGCATAACTGGAGAATCGAGTCATGAATAAATATGCATAAATAAAATACGATTTTATATTTTGTTTGACTGAGATATCATTTTCAGAATACTTTTTATGTAATATATGTACTTACATACATACATATTTATGTATGCATAATCATCTTTTGCAACTGTAAAAATTAAAGTCGAGTGATATACATATATATATGTATGTATGTATGTGACAATTATTTGATTACTGTCGCAGTTGTCCGCCTCCATAATTGGCAAAGTGATATATGTATGTACATATGTATACACAAACATGCATATATATTTCTCCGTAAATATGAGTGCAACAGCACGCCACGCCCACAATTTGCCACAGCAGTTGGCACCATTAACGAACAGTGGGAGTTATTCATAATTGTTGTTGCGAGCTAAAAGAGCAACAGAGAAAGAGAAATGCAAAACAAACGCCATTTTTATTGCCACACACACACACACACACACATACATAATGAATGAATGCGCAGCTAAAGAACCGCAATGTGAACCGTTGCCTTCACTGTCGCTGCAGAGCCCAAGCGAAAAACAAATATAAGCCGCATGACTGCAGACCAACAATAAATTTAACACTTTAACTGTGATGCATGTGTGACTCAGTGTGTGCGTGTGTGAGTGTGTGAGCAACTGAATGAAATGAAATGAAATCCGAGCTAACGGTAATGCGAGCATCCGTATTCGCATTCGCATTCGCTTTCGCATTCACATGTGTTCCCAAACATGTAATCTCCTTGAATGCAGCCTATATTAAATTGTTAAGGCTTACCTATAATTTTTGACTGCACTGTTATGCATGTGTGTATATGACTCGAAGTTGGCTGCGAGTAATTGTATTCTAAGTATTTAAATGCAGCTTAAATGAGTCATTGCAAATGTAATTCCATAACAGCCATAATGAAGTTATTTATGAGTATCAATCCTAAATATTTGACTCCATTGTAATCTTTGGGTTCGACTTGAAGTTGGCTGCTACAACGCAGAATGACTCTTGGAATTATCGATATGCAATTTTTAATGGCGAATTGTTCAGTTCCTTTCTGTCCTGTTCAAGATGAACTTTTGAAACTTAAATGTATTAAACACTTGTTCAATGCTGCTTTCCCAATTCAGTTTGCAAATTAAATTTTGTTTAATGAGTGCGCAATAAAACGCATTTACTGTCAAGTGATAAAGTGTCATTTCGCTCGGCTTGCTGGCACTTTTATTATTTCTGTAACTACATTCGTATATATATTTTTCATTTATATGCCATATGTGTGCGCGTATGTGTGCTGGCCACGCCTCCCCATTCCGCTGCTGCCCACTGTTGACATGCAGCAATTATTAACTTTTATGCGGCTGCTGCCATGGCGCCGTGTGTTTGTTATTAATTTCTTGTTATTTATGCAAATAGTTGGCACTTAATACATATATTTTTTTCTCCCTCTCTCTCTCTCTATATCTCTCGCACAGTGCAAATTGCTTTGCGCATTACAATAAATTAACAGCATAAGCGAATAACGACAACAACAACAACAACAACAAACGAGTACAATCTCTGACACGTTTCCTGCTTATCGACAACGTCGCAGCATTTTTGTTTTTTACTTTTAAACTATGTTGCATACGTTGGGGCGCTGGCCATAAACTGAGCTGAGTTATCGCCCGCAGACGTGCTAGACGGCTCTGACTGTTGACCATATACTCACACGTACATACACACATACATACACTTCAGATATTCTATATAGATATGTAGAGAGATGTTTGGCAGGCAGCATAGTTTAGCCCGCATTTGTTTGGTTTGCTTGGGGTCACGTTTGTCTGTCTGCGCTGCTTATGAATAAAGTTGTTGAAGTCGGCCTGTCAATACACACAGACACATAGATACTCCCACACACACACATGCCTTCATCATCATTCTGTGGCAGCCTCCCTTCAATTGGGGTTATTTGTCGCTCTATTCTAGCACGAGCCACGCTTTGTTGACTTTTTGGCTTTGAATGGTTCCAGCATCTATTCAATTCTATGTCGTCTATTAGAGAGGGGAGTGGGCGATGGTAAAAAAAAGCAGCCCTCAAGCAATTTGAAATGAAAAGTTAAACATACATATGGTAAAAAAAAGAAGAGCAGACAAAAAAAAGAAGTGATATGTGCCGCCCATATTTGTGGGCAGTAAATAGCAACAGGACGAAATGTGTCCTTTGACATTTGATCGCACGATAATCCAGCACAGAGACAAGAGAGACAGAGCTGACTGGTTGGCTATTCAACAGCTACTTTTCCATTTAATGGCCTGTTGCATTATTTAGCACAGCGAGCAAAGTCAATAAAACCAAGAAATTGCTTTAAGTAACGTGCTTAAAGGTACAGTCCCGCCAAGCTGCCGGCGACTTTAAGCCGCAGACAATGCGGCGCATTAGGCATCCTTGCCAAGGATATTGCCAGCCGTCGGTAATTGCGCTGCTTCACGTCAAACTGCATTCGATACGCTCTTCGTTTAGGAGTTCGGCAGCTTGTTTAGATGGGTTTTATTCACAAGCTAATGTCTAAAATATAAATTAATAAATATTAAGCATTCATATTTTACTTTTTGATTACAATAAATTTTATTCAAACTCAAATTATATATTTGTGTATTATTCAAGTATTTAGTAAATTGCAATTGTTTATTATTAAATTATTTACTTCATATTTTTCCCGAACAGAAATATTCTTAATTGTTTTGTATTTTAATTTATTAGATTAGAATTTATTTTTTTTTTTTATTTTTAGTTAATTTTTATAAATATATGTATGTATATATATTTTTTGAATTTTGTATGTTATTTGAAACAAATATTTGTATTCCCTTTTTTCTCATCTAGTCTCATTTTTCTTGATATGTTATATAATTTAAAGAGCATACAACAGTCGCATATGCCTCACACTCCGTTTACACTCAATTACAAAGCACATGTGCGAGTTGAGCTGTTGAATTGGCGTTTTTCAAGTTTAGCCGCGACGACTTTTTACTTTACGCTCAGCATCTTAATTTACTTTAGCAGTCAGGCAGCTGGAAAAAGAAGTGAACAGCCAGCCTAAACAGTGAAAGGAAGCCAGAGTGAGTCAGAGAGAGCGAGAGAGAAAGAGAGCGATGGAGAGGTAGAAGTTGTGGGAGCAAGGAATTACGGCAATTTCCTGAACAATTTCTTGTGGCTGAACTTGCCAAGCTGCCGGGCCAACACACACACACACTCAGCATACACACACACTCAACATATACACACACACATATTTAGCTGTTTTTTTTTTTTGAGTGCAGCGCTCAGCAGTGCAGTTAATTATAATTAAGACGAGTTAACTAAGCACTTGCCAGGCACTTGCTGAGTACTCGGAAAAGGGGGCGTGGCAGCTGTTGTTGTTGTCGTTTTTTGTTTATGCAATTTAAATTTGTCAGCTGTTGCTGTTGTTGTTGTCGACTTTAATTAAGGCAGCGCGTTCATTAAAAAAGTCAGTGAACGAGAGAGAGAAAGAGAGAAAGAGGGAGAGAGTGAGTGAGTGAGTGAGTGAGTGGATGAGTGAGGGTGTCAGTAAAAAAGTAGGCCAAAAAAGTGTTGCATATTCAACGGCTTTTGGATTTGGCGTGTGGCGTGTGGCATGTGGCATGTGACGGTGGTGGCTGCAACAATGCAGCAAGCAAGCTGCGAGCTGTTATGCAAAAAGCTAAAAAAAAAAAAAAAATGAAGCAAAAACAAAAACTCAACGCCAGCGGCGACAATCCTTCATTTGCAAGGACAATGCACAGGATAACAGAGTGAATAGAAAGGCAGGCAGACAGCCAGTGGAGCGGCGAGGCAGGCCATTATAATAAATAAAGCGCCTTTCACTCATAACTGGCGCACAATGCTGCCTATAGCTGTGCCTGTCAAAGTATCTGTATCTGTGTCTATCTCTCTCTCTCTCTCTCTCTCTCTCTCTTTTCAATATAGTTGATGGCATCGAGGTCTTTAATCAGCTGCGACTTGAGGTGCGAGCTTGTGTGCAATTAAAGACAACTGCTGCGCCCATAAATATGCAATAAATTTAGTCTCACACACACACAGAGTCACACACACAGTCACACACACACGTTGCTTGCCCTCGGCTATTGCATAAAAATCACATTAACAATTTGCTGCTACAAGAGTATTTTATTTTTATTGCTGCTTGTTGTTATTTTTATTCCATGCAGACGCCTTTTGTGTGTGCGCTATGCAAAAGCACTCACACACACTCACACACACACACACATATACACATACACATATGTACATTTTATACACATGTTGCCACTGGCAGCAGCAGCAGCAGCAGCAGTAGCAGCAACTTGGATCAGCATCGAAAAGCGCAATAAAAACGCTTAATTTTTCACTTTTACACGCCTTCATTGTTGTTGTTGTTGTTGCTGCTGTTGCTGTTGTTGTTGCTGTTGAGTGTGCTGTCGCTTGTATGTAAGCCATTTAAAAGTTATTTAATTTAATAACACGCACAAAACATGTTTCAAGTAAAAGCAAACGAACATAAATATGAGACACATACAAACGCACACAGACATACTCATATATATGACACACTCTCTCTCTCTCACACACACACACACTTTTATCACTTGGCCATGGCGACTAACACTCCAGCACGTTGAAATAACTGTAAGGGGGGTAGGTTGGGGTAGGGGCAGTCTGATAGGTGTTAAAGAGGGTGTAGTCAGCGCTCTGTGCTTCTTCTTCTTCTTCTTCTTCTTGACTGGCATGCACTCTCATATATTGGCAAGGCACACACTTTGCTATGCACTGAAGTTGTTTTTGCAGTTAAATGCTTTGGCTAACTGTAATTTATGAACGTTTCACAACAAAAACAGCAAAGCATTTAGCATTCGAGTAAAAACTTAGTTAACAACTATAACTTTAAGTTTTAGAGGGATATGATATATTCTGTATATAAGATAATCTAGGGCTAGATCGACACTGATATTCTCCATTTGTCGTGAATTTTTCTGCCTAGGAATTGCCATTTGTGTTGAGTTCAGGGTATAAGAAAGAAAAGTTCGATTTGTAATATCATTCAATGTTTTAAGCAACTATATTTATTGATTTATTGCTACATTGATTCATTGATTAACTCATTCATGGATTCATTGCTACATTGATTTATTGATTCACGGATTTATTGATTCATATATGAATGGATTTATTGCTACATTGACTCATGGTTTAATTCATTCATTAATCCATTGCTTCATTGATTCATAGATATATTGATTCATTGCTACATTGATTCATTGCTACATTCATTCATTGCTACATTGATTCATGAATTAATTTATTAATTTATTCAGTGATTGATTCATTTCTTTATTGAGATAGTAATTCAGTGATTCAGTGATTCATTCACTGTATTGTTATAGAGGTTCATTGATTTTATAGATTAATTCCCTTAAACAACTCTATTCAATTAATTTAAAAATTTTTTCCTTTCTGTCTCGATGCGATCTTTAAAACATGTCAATTTCTAGAATTTTTGATTACCTAACATTCAATGCCGTTAACTTTTGGATTTCATTTTGAAAAATCGTAAATTTGACTTTCAATTAAAATGGAATTTCAGTATTTTTGCATTTTAATTGCATGCGGATCAGATTAAATTGGCAAAAACACAAGCCCTGGATGAATGAAATATAAACACGCTGATGGCAAACGATATGCCAGGCATTGAATGAATACATATATGCATGCATGCATATATGCATGTATGTGTTTGTAGAATCCCATTGATATTTAAGCCGCGGCAAATAACAACAGCAACACTGAGAGAAAAAATCAGTGCGATTGTCAACTTTTTCACTGCTCTTATTTTTACAGATTTAAAAACAAAACTGCCGCAGACGTTAAAAAGTGAAAAATCGCTGCGGAAAAGGGACAAATAAAAGGAAGAAAGCCCAAAGCAAATCCAAACGCAGAACAACGGCGGCAAATCCCTTTTTGCCCACGACCCAAGGCCAAATGCAATAAGCTGCAGCCGCACACAACAAAAACAACGTAAACAAAGCGCAGTCTAAGCCATCAAACAGCCCTCGCACACACACACACACACAGCACCAGAGAGATTGTTGTTGTTGTTTTTTTGGAAACAGCCGCCAGAATTGCTTTCTTGTACTTTGGACACACGTGCGCTGCGGCTGCGCCGTTGCCGTTGCCGTTGTCGTGCCCCTTGCCCGTGTCCTTGCCATCGTCAGCTGCCGCGCCCCTGGCAACGGCATCGACAATGAAGCTGTCAAAACTGTCCAACCAGACGAACTCGCAGGATCCGCAGGCGGTTAACTCGCGCATCTTTGTGGGCAATCTGAATACATTTCAGTGCTCCAAAACGGATGTGGAGCGCATGTTTCAGATCTATGGCCGCTTGGCAGGTGAGACTCAGCCCACACCCACTTATACATATGTATGTACACCCACACTCACCGATACCTGTCCTCTATCTCCACCTGCAGGCATCTCGATGCACAAGGGCTACGCCTTTGTGCAGTTCACCAATCCCTTCGACGCCCGCAACGCCTGTCACGGCGAGGACGGCAAGACGGTGCTCAGCCAGACCCTAGGTGAGTCGCTTTTCTTTGTACCACACATAAATATGTTTATTTATGATTGCACATGCCCTGGCATTTGCCTTGACGATATCATCAGAGCTTGAAATTTGCTTACATTTTTCTAGATTCCAAAATGCCTTGAATTGATTTTTATCTGAGTTACCCTTTGCTATTCTAAAACAGACAGACAGAAGAATTAGCCGTAGCAGATCTTATCAGAGAATGAGCTGAGTCGACTGATCTCTCGTTAGCTAGACACTTGAAATTTCAAGTGTATATTGGTAGAATATTATCTTTGGATATTTCTACTGAACTCTACCGATTCCTGTGTTGAGGAATCTTGGATAATTCCCATGCTTCACAACAAAAATTTACTTCATATTGAGAGAGTCTACAGCATAAATTGATATTGCCAGGATTTGTATAAGTTCTAGCTACCATTCTGCTCATCAAATTAGCCTAGGTACAGCTCATAGATTTCATAACAGATATAGATCAGTAACAAGATTTTTAAAATCAATACTAGTTTCAGTTTCTGCATATAAATTGATAAATATTATTATATACTAAGATCTAGTTCTACTCCCAAGATTCGTGTGTCAAGAAGTTGAGTTCTAAGCATTGCCTTGGATTTAAAACTCTGTTAGTTTTTACTTGCTTTCACCTAGTACAACCTTTGCCTTTTGATTACAATATTTCCCTGTTGTAAGATTCCCTTACCCAACTTTAAGCTCCATTATACGTGTTATGTAATCTGAAAGAACCTCTACACACACACACACACACACACACACAAAGGAACTTGAAATATTCTATCTTTGGTATCGCTCAGCTGAGGTTGGCTAGTAAATTGCTGGCTTGCTGTGGCCGTCTGTGTCGGGGCGTTTTGTTTTGCATAGACATGGCAGACCTTAACCCTCGCATAGTTGCATGTCCGATGCGGTTGGCCCGTCGACTCGTCGACCCGTCGGGTTAATGGCCCCACGGTTTGCCGGAAGCGCAGCACTAAAATCGAACAAGAGCGCGCGAAAAAAGAAACAGCAGGAGCGGGTGATGGGGCAGGGGGAGTGGGAGTGGGTGTGGGAGTAGAGCAGAGTAGCTACAGTGCTGGCATGTGTAGCAGCCATATCTTAGGCTGTCTGCGTATTTTGTGCAGCGGAAGTCGTTGCAGGCCGCGGCTTAAAGTGCGGCCAAACATAAATTCTCCTGCGATACTTTTAATGAAATTTCAATGTTGTGCCGAGTGTCTGTGTGTGTGTGTGAGCGAGTGTGTGTGAGTATAGGTGTCTGTCTACCTGACTGACTGCCTGACAACTGACTGTTTGTCGATTTAATTTAAACGCTTAATGAAATTTCAAGCCGCGTCACTCGCAGCTGCAATGCAACAGGGCAAATAGACAGAGAACGAGAGAGCGCGAGAGAGGATGAGAGAGAGAGGAGAGTAGCGCATCCTTGGCATTCTTTCATGCGTGTCTCGTGTGAAGAAAACAGCTTAATGCACTTAGCGCGCAATGTCAGTCGAGGCAGACAGCGCGCCGCTGACAACGCTGCGTATGCGGATGCTGTCATATTCATACGCCCCGTTGGCGAGCAATGAAAAACTTTTACAGCACGCACACATAAAAAGCATTTGGATGCGATGCGATGCGCTTATGCAAATGCTCTATAGCCATGCTAATTTTGCGCTGATTAGAGCCGGCTTTAAAATGCTAAATAAAAGTAATGCAAATAATGGGAATAGTAGCAAGAGCACAGTGTAATATTTCACTCTGCTACGCGCCATTGACTTTCGTGTAATGGGGGCGTGGGGGCTACTACTGGCTACTGGCAACTGGCTACTGGCAACTGGCGCTAAACCGATTTACAGCGCTCTGGCCATGCCTTTTCAAATCCTTCTTATGCTTTTATCCTTAATCTTAATTATTGCCTGCCAGCAGTGCCAGCCGAGCAGACAAGCTGAAGAAATACTTGAGCAAATGCAAAAAAAAAAGAAAAACAAAAGCAACAAAAAAAGGGAGCAGCAAAAAAATATGTAAAGCAGCCACAGCCACAGCCACAGCCACAGCCCAAACGTCCAGTAATTTGTAGTTATAGCAACTGCCTCACAGCACGCCCACTACCCAACGCCCAACGCCCACCGCCCACCGCCCACTTTGAGGCTTGTCTTTGCTCCTTCTATCTGGGGGGCCACCCTGCGGCGCACTTCAAACTTTGTCATGAATTATGATGAACGAGCGCGCGCCCCACGACTCCAACCACAAAACCTACCAAAAAAACAAATCCGAGTGGAAAAAAAAAACCCGCCGAACATTTCGCGTCGCACCCTTTTCATTGAAAAATGAAATGTATAATGCATTCGGGCACGATTTTGGCTTTAGCTTTAGGTTTGCGACAGGCGCGAGCTCTGAGCAGCGTCAGGCATATTTATGAACTCTTCTGCTCTGCCTGGGGGAGAAGGCGGTGAGCGTAATGGAATGGAATGGGAGCCAAGGCTCAAGAGCTGCGCTGGTCTAATGCACGCATATGTGTGCCTAATTAATTAGTTGAGCCTGGATGCGTGGATGTTTTATATCAGTTTTTGATATTTGAGTTTGAAAGTTTGGCTTGAAGAAGCTGGCACAAGATGCCAAATGTAAAAAAAGTAAAATTTGCAATTTATTAGCCAATGCTTCTCTATAATTTACTTCGACTTTATACAACTTTTTTGGCTAGACTCTGAAGCAATTCTTTCATCTCTGAGCCCAAACTAGGGAGTGGAGCCCGTATTGAATTTAATTCTAGTGATTTTTAGTCTGGGATTTTAGCTCCTGCTAAGCAAGGCAATAGATTTATTAGGTTACGTTATTATAATAATATACAGATAGATTAAATAAACAAATCAAAAATATATATATTTGTTAAACATATATGCAAGTTATATTTGGCCAGTTTCTAAGCTTAAAATTTAAAAATAAATGTAATAAAAAAAAAATTTAAATAAAATAAAATTTTAAATAAAATCTACTTAACGCAAATAAAAATAGTTTATAAGAGTTTTCCAATTGACAACGCAAGAAGCAGATATAAAATATATAAATATTAATGTATTTGATCTAAGATACCAAGAAATATATATATATATATATATATATATATATATATATATATATATATATATATATACATATATATATATATATATATATATATATATATATATATATATATATATATATTTAATAAGTATTTATAATTCATTTATCATTCGGCTTTTATGTTCAAGCTTTATTTACTATTTCCAGTTTTTTTTTTTTTTACTATGTCCAATCCATTTTAGTCCTTGGTAGAGCATTCAGTTTAGGTTTTTCAAAACTTTTTTTTTCTTATGAAAATCTGTCCCTGTCTTAGTCCGCTGTTAACTTCATTTTGCATGCTTTATTTTGTTGTTGTTGCTGTTGTTGGTTATATTAAGATTAATGATGCCAAGTCAGATTAAATTATTATCGCTGCAGTTGGACAGCAGTGCACACACACACCCAGACACACACACACACACCCTCCCTCTCAAAGGTTTTTTTTAATCACTTAGAGCTAGAGCATTTGCATAATGAAAAACCAACAGCAACAACAACAAAATAGAAACCCGAAATGCCATTGTCTTCGCTTTACTTAGCACTTCAAAGGCAACTGAAAATTGTTTTGTTTGTTTGCTTGTTTGTTTGTTTTTTTTTTTTTCTCAACTGAAAGCCGATTTGGCATTGTTGCTTGGCTCAGAGTATAATGGGTTGGCAAGTTATTTATTTATCTATTTGTTGTTCATTTTGTGTTTCTTCTTCTGCCTGCAGATGTCAACATGGTGGCCGAGCCGAAGGCGCATCAAATTGGCAGAAAGCGTCAGAATGTCAGCAAAACGGGCAACGATTGGTGAGTAAAAAAAAAAGAATAACAGAAAATACAAAACCAAAAAAGAAAATTATAAAAACAATTTCATGCTAGAGTAGATTTTTAATTTAAATAAATGCAAGTTGCTTTGCTCAATTGAATGCCATGTGACGCTCATTAGGCGTTTATTTACATATCATTTAACGTGGGACTAGGCTGAAAGTTTCTTTTGTTTTATCGGAGGGCTTGTGTGGATAATTCTCTTCTTTTTTTTGAGTAGGGGTGTGCGATAGCCGCCCAAATAAATAAATAAATAAGGCGCCATCCATCAGCACATGGACATGGACGTATTTGCAGTGCTATTCGTATTCGTATTCGTATCCTTTGTTGCTGCCACACATCACATAAAATATATTTGGGGCTGTCAACGCGATGCGAGAGAGTTTTTGTGCACGCTCATGATGTGTGCAGCATGGGCGTATTGGTTTTAGGGGTGGTTTGCCTCTTGACTGTGCGGAAGCTAAACATATTTAACAAGAGATTTGAGTCTGGATGTCCATACTCAAGTAGAGATTGTTCTAGATATCTAATATTTTGAAGGGAGTTAAATATCTATAAAAGCTCTACAGTTCTTTTGTACCATAACAGCTCAATCTAGTTCATTATAATCATCTAAAGGGGTTTAAGGATCGCAGGTTATGCAGTTAGAACTCTGAAACTTCTTTGCTGAGATAAACCTCGATATGAACTCCTATTCATATACCTTGATATTTAAACACTTTAACCATGAACGAGCATCGCGCAGTCAGTCACAATCAATTGTTCTCATTTGTGGGTTTTTGTTTCTGTGACACCAACTCCTGCTCCGTCTGCCGTCTGAGTCAACGTCTCGATGCTCGATGTCTGCGCCTGTGTCTGGGTCAGTTGTGTGTTGTGTTTCGAGTGCTGCACACACACACACACACACACACACACAGATAGAAAACTGTGAAAATGTGAAACTGTGAAATAAAAAACACACAAAAAAACAAAATGGGAACTGCCTGTGAGTGACAGCTGCAATGTATGCTATAATATCCTGGCCATGGCTCTGGCTCTGGCTCTGGCTCTGGCTCTGGCTCTGTGGCTGTTAGTCCTGGCGCTGACATGTGCACTTGTTTGTCCCTGGCGCGGCCTTAATGATGACTGAGCGAGTGAGCCAGCGAGCCAACACATACATAAGTATATATACATATATATATTTATATATGATTTTTTTTCGGCTCGACTTGCTACTCGTGTGGAAATATTTAATTTAAGCTTAATGACGCCGAAAAGGAAGTGCGTTAGGGCTTTAAAAGAGCAGCCCACACACACACACACACACACAGGCACACAGGCACACACACACATCCAGGTTGACTTGATTGTAATTAAAACGCAAACAGCTCGTCCCTCTCACTCAGGTGGTTGCAGGCGGCTCGTGTTTGTCATTTAAATGCCTCCTGCTCAGTCCATTGACCGCACACAAACTGACCATAAAAGCCACAATTGTTGTCGCCTCCCTCGGCCCCCTCGCCCACTCACCCTGTCGTACGGGCGATATGAGAACCGTTCGAATATTGAACCACAAACGGCAGAGCTGCCTGCAAATTGTATCAATCAGTCACAGTGCGGACGTTTGTGTGCGGGGCAGGTGGGCGTGGCACATAATTGGCAAATGGCAATTGAAAGGACGTTACGGTCACCGAATGAGACCTAAGCAAATATTGACCAGCGGTCAGACTGATAGGCCGCACCAGACAGACGGGCAACAGTTGGCGTGCTGTTTACACTCACTCTGCTTCTGCTTCCTCTTCTTCTTTAATTTTTGGGGCAGACACTTCAATTACTGTGCCACAACTAATGAGGCTGTCACAACTCTTGTCACTTGTGTCTTGCAGGGACTACTTCTATGACAGCTATTGCTCGTCGGCGCTGCTGCGCGGCGGCGGCGGAGGCGGCGGCAATGTCAACGGCGTGCGTGCCAAGAAGCGCAAGCGCTTGATGACCAACAACAATGGCCTAACGGCTGCCGTGCAGCAGCAGCAGCACAGCCAGCATCATCACAACGCTGCGGCAGTGGCCGCTGCAGCAGCAGCTGCCGCGGTGCATCACCAGCAGCAGGCGGTACAGCAGCAGCAGCAGGTGCAGCAGCAACACCAGCAACAGCAGCAGCAACAGCAGCAGCAGCAGCAACAGCAGCAGCAACATCATCATCATCATCAGCAGCAAGTTGCTGCTGTTGCCATGGCGGCGATGGCCAATTTGTTGCCACAGCAGCAGCTGTTGCTGCATCAGCAAAATTTGCTATCGACTGCTGCAGCGGCGGCGGCAGCAACAACAGCAGCGCCCGGTGCACTGCACTGGTCACAATACAAACAGGACCCACAGCAACAGCAACAGCAACAACATCAACAGCAACAACAGCAGCAACAACAACAGCAACAGCAACAACAGCAGCAACAGCAATTTGTTGCCGCTGCCACAGGTTTCCAGTTGAAGAGCGTTATTGCCGGGCAGTCAACGACTTCGCCACAGAATGCAAAGTCAGCAATAATTGCTAATCAAACAGCGCTCGTGGAGCAGTACGGTGCCTTTTCCCAACAGCCGTCGCATCACCAGCAACAACAACAGCAACAGCAGCAGCAGCAACAACAACAGCAACAATTGGGCTGCCTGCTGCAGCCATTGACTTTGGCATTGTCCCCACAGCAACCGCAGCCGCTACAATTGCACAGTCAAATGATGCAGCAACAGCAACAGCATCAACAACAGCACCAGCACCAGCAACACCAACAACAACAGCATCAGCATCTACAACAGCATCAACATCAGCATCAACAGCAGCAGCAGCAGCCGCACCACCAGCAGCAGCAGCAACAGCAGCAGCAACATGCACAGGAGCAATTAAGCTTGCATCAACACTGGGGACCATTCAAAGTCTACAGTGAGTATTGACTTGATTTGTTTGCATTGTTTTTGTATTTCGGTTCGCCATTTGCATTGGCAATTTAAGATTTATGCATTGATTAACAATAAGTTAGAAATGCTTGTTAAGCTTTAAATAAACTACAGCTATGAATAAGATAAAATCTAGAATTTGCTGAGTAGGATGGAAAAAGTAATTGGAATGCGAGTGTAAACAGTAAGATATAAATGAATATATATATATATATATATATATATATATATATATATATAAACAAGACATGTGAGTGAGCTGGAGTAACTTTAGCTCTATTAAACATACCCTGTATTCATGTAAAAATGTTTTTATTTTTCGTATGGATCAGTTTAAGCTCCGATTATCACTTTAATGTTAATCAAATGAAGTTTATCAAATGAATTAGCTTACCCATAGTATAGGGTATATTCAAGTCTTGCAATAGTTGTGATATATATTGAGGAACCACTAACTCTGCTTATACCCTTTAAGCACCAGGCCAATCAACATTTTACACAGCTTACAGCGCATCTTCTAGTCTAGCATCGCTTATAAATCTAATCTCAATCACCGCTAGCTTTGTTACGCTTGTCAAAAAAAATGCCGCCTGATGACATTGAGACGCTCGTGTCTCTGAATCAGGGAAATGTGTGAAAGTCAGAGACTCGGTGCCCATAGATATCACTTCGTCCTCCTCATCTCCAGCCTACTTCGAGTTGTGGCAGCCGACGCGGCAGCGACGTCCTTGCAGTCGACTTCGCCGCAAATCCATCCGCTGGCGGTGCTCGAGCAGCCGCGCAAATTGCCGACGGGCTACCTGAACGGCCTGTTGAGCCTGAAGCAGCGGCTCTTGGCCAACAACGTGCAGCTGCGACCGCCCTTCACGCCCAACAGCCAGCAGCAGAGCTTTCGTGAGGTCATCTCAGATCTGAATTTGGGACATGACATGAATGCCATACCCCCGAATGTGATGACGCCAGATCAGCTGCATCAGCAGTTGCAGCAGCTGGAGGTCGATCTGCATCATCAGGACACTCAGCTGCAGCAGCGGGAAATGCAGCTGGCAGCGCAAGTTGCTTCCGGACAGCTTCAGCAGCAGCAGCAGCAACCACAGCAGCAGCAACAGCAACAGCAATCGCAGCAGCAACCGCAGCAGCAGCAGCAACTACTTGAGCCAGTTAAAATGCAATTCGAGCTAACTTCGGGCCATCAGCCACAGTTACAGTTGCAGACACAGGACCAGCCCGTGCAGGATTCGCAAACGGACGCCGAGTCCACTTATGACACCAAAATGCAATTGCTGCAGCAGCTAGCTGACTCTCTAGCTCGACAGCAACAGCAGTCGCCGCAACAACAGTTGCCACAGCAACAGCAGTCGCTGCGCTCGAATGTGGCGCAACTGTCGCCTTCTGATCCGGCGGCCGAAGCGGAGGAGGAAACATGTCCCGAAGAATGCGCCACAACGGATAGCGATGTTGAGGATGATGAGGAAAATGACGATGATAAATGTGACAACACGACGCTGGAGCCCACCCAGGCAAACGTGACGCAAGCCGGAAAAGCAACAACCCCACAAGTCGAGACGTTGACCATTCGCGTGGACCCCAACAGAAACCTAACGAAGACCACGGCGCCGCCAAAGACCACAACTGCAGCGGGGAAGCAAACGAAGCCAAAGCCAACTAAGAGCTCTGCTCCCACCAAGTTTCCGTTCGCCAAGACGACCAACAGCAAAAAAGCTAAGAAGCCATGCTGCACCAAGCCAGCAAAGAATCCATGGAACAGCCTTTCGCAAAAACTGAGAAAGTTCTGGCAGGAGCCGAAGCAGCGCATCGATCGAGCTTCGCCGAGCGATAAAGCGAATCTGCGCATCGATGCCATTGCAACCTGGCTGCAATACCGCAAAATGCACAGCAAAGATGCTCTGAGGGCGAACAGGGCGACGCGACAGCAAAGAGACAAGAAACCAGAAGTAAAGAAGTCGAAAAAATATCAGATTTGGGCCAAAAAGAAGCTGCGCCAGCAACGAGGCGTTATCGATAGGCAGCAAGTGCTGCAGGCGGAGACCAAACTGTGGCCCCTAAAAAGGTCGCATTGAGAGACTCTATTCGATTTCCATATGCCATAAATATATATATTTATTTTATAAATGAAAGAAAGAAATTTGCAGAGATTGGTAAAGAGATTGGAAAGAAATTGGAGAAAGATAAGAAATTGGGGTGAGATTAGAGCTGACCGAAAGAAATCGATAGGTAAAGTCATATTGGAGCTGAACGAATGAAATTGGGGTGCGATAAGGGCAGACTAGAACTGCAGCAATGAAATTGGGGAAGTAAAAGTAGATTAGAGCTTCAATCAACTGATACAATGTTTGTTAGGTAAATAAACTTCTTAGATTATACAGCTAAATATAGCTATAAATAGTGACGTGTTATCAAAATTCATTTTGGGTAGCAACAAATTCATTAAGTTTATATATTATACACTTTTAGGTAAATTTGATAGATTATACGCAACTTGATTATAAGCTTTGTCTGTTATATATTTTTATTTTCATGTAGAATGATAAGGCTGCATTTTGATTTATGATATAGCTCATGTAAAAAAAAACGAAATATTTTCAGCCCAATTGCCAGCGAAATCTATTATTACCTCATTCTCGCTTTTCCGTCAGTTCCATTTAAAAAATATGCAACCACTCAGAGCTAGTCATAATTACTCTGCCAGTTGCATCATTGTTATTTTTAGCAGACGCATGTAAATAATTGCATGAAAGTGCATATTTTATGGGGCATATTCTCTTTCTATTGTAGGCAATCCGGACACATTAATCTGCGGCAACTGCCGGGAATGCTTCAGTGAGCTGTCTGAGTTATTGGACCACAAGAAAAGTTACTGCAAGCTGAGGTTCACATGCAAGTGCCAGGACGTGGCCTTTGCAGCGAGTAAGTCTTACGATTCTTTGCACTTTACACCGAGAGGGGATGGCCTGAAGGCGGGGGCGGGGGCGGAATGGGGCTGGCTATGTCGGCAATTAATTTATGATTGTTAAACACATTTTGTGCTGCATGTCCATGTGGGTTTTGTCTAGGGGGGGATGGGAATGTGGGCGGCTTTCGCCTCTGCTGGTTGCGAGTCAGCAACATCTGTCTGGCGTTTCATTTAAAATTGAGTTATTTATGCGACTTAGCCCGGCCCAGACCCAACTTAAATAACTAATTAATTCTTGCATGTTTCATCCGTTCACGCACACATAGAGACGCCGCCAACGGGCGCCAAATTGCTTTGCGCCGTTTGCAAGGATGCGTTCGCCAATCCCTGGGACTTGATGGTCCACGCACAGGCCGCACACATGGTTAACATTTACGAGCTGGGCGATGAGGTCACCAATTCGACCAACGGCAATCGCAGCCCCAACAACGGCAATGTCAGCGATGCGACCAATGGACATGCTGCTGCCGCTGCTGCCGTTGTTGCAGCTGCAACTGTTGTTGCCGATGATGAGGCAACAGCCATAACAAAGCACATGCCAACGTCAGCAACACTTAACAAGGAGCCAAATAACAATAACAAAATTAGCAACAATAACAACAACAACAACAGCACAAACATCAACAACAACATCAATGGGCACAGCTCACCCATAGCCCACAGCAACAACAACAACAATAGCGGCAGCAATATTGCTGCTGCAACTGCCATGGATGTTGCTGCTGATGCTGACATTGACGCCGACGCTGCTGCTGCTGCTGCCGCTGCCGCTGCTGGCGTCGCAGCTGTGGTCGCTAACGATGGGCACGTCAGCGGCAGCGATACGGAGACCCATTGCATGGACAGCGGCCTCTGTGCCAGTCCCAAGGAGGTGCGTCTGCTGCCACCAGCTGTTGCCTCATTTGCTGTAGCCAAGAAAACACTTTTCTCTTTGCAGGATCAGCAGCGCGATGATCTGTCGCTGGACGGACGGCTGTCCAGCAGCTCGCAGACCCATCACTCCGATGACCTCAATGTGAATATCAAGCTGATTAACGGTTCCGTGTCCTCGCGCGGCAGCTCACCCGGCCTGGAGTCGGATGAGCCGCCGGCAACGCGCGCCTGCATTGTGCGCACCCTGAGCATTGTGAGTATGGGTAGGGTTAAGATTAAAGATGAATATATGCTATATGAAAACTCGAATATATTAGATCAGAATCTGAGATAATATTAGCTAAGAAGATCAAAGTATATAGGGATTTACCTAAGGCTATATATAAAATATAAATAAATGAATAAATTAAAGCAAATATTAACGCTTTCTTTTCTATTTGTTTTTCAACTTCCCAGGAGGCTGCTGCTGCTCCAGCCACGCCCACTGCGAACGCCCTGAGCCTGATGTCGAATGGGCTCAGCTTGGCGCTGGCTCCGCAATAAGTCGAGTCTCGGCGATCAACTGGACTAAAGCAGAATCAAAAGCGTGGCAAGGGAAAGGTCTAAAGAAGAGAATCTAGCTATTAAGAATGTTTTAAGAAAGAGGAAGAGAGAAGTGTTTGAAGAGTATTAAAAATACTCGAATGGCTTTTGGCTTGTGTTTATTGGGATATGTAATCGTGAGTGCGATGCAAGTGCAATTTATTCAGTATTTTTGTACTAGAGACTTAAACTGAACAAAGTTTAAACAGAATAAATAAATAAATACATATAAAGTTGAAAACGAAATGAACGTAAATTACAACAAACATATCATTTTAACTAGGCAACTAGGTATTACAGTAGCTATAACAAATATAACTAATTAAATAATGTACTATATATATAAAGATATACATATATCGCTTATCGTGTCTGTAATTTGTTTTGCTTAGCATATTTTTGGGTTTCAAAACTGCATATGAGAACATATAGGTAAAAGAAAAAGGTAAAGAAAGGTCACACAGCAAAAAAACAGTCCTTAAAAGAGAGCTTTGTATATAGATAAAAGATAACCGATAGCCGATAGCCGATAACCGATAACAGCTAACAGTTAAAGGAAACGTAATTACTCAATTATATATTAGCTGACAGAAACAACCCGAAAACTTATATTTTATATATGAAAACATAATTAAACTAATACTTATTGCATACATACATACATCTATACTTAACAAGCCAACCAATATTATTATTCAAAATACGTACCATGTGTATCAAATGTAGTATAGTGAAAAAAGCAAAACAGGTGTTTCATAAACAAGAAAAGAAAAACGAGAACCCATGCAAATGTTCCCAGCAAAAATAAGAAGGCTTAAAACTTACATAATTTAATAAATATTTAATATGAAAATACACACACACATACACATACATATGTACTATATCGAATGTAGCTGCTGTGTAAATAGTTTATATACATATATATACATATATATATATGAAAAAAAAAACTTATTGTTAACCGTAACAACATTCAATTCAGTGTCCTCCAGCTAAACATGTAAACAGGCCGTAACAAAACCAAAAAAAAAAAGAAATGTATTTAATAAATGAATATCATTAAAACATAAAATAAAATCAAGCATTTAGTTTTGATTTAATTTAAATTACTTCAACTTGTCTGGGGACCAAGTGAAAGTTCGCCGAACGCATTTGAAATTCTATTTTGGCATAGCTCATTAAAATAAATGATGATCAACTGCAACACACGACGCAAACAAGACGGGCACAACAAGGACACTGCAAACATTGTTGAAAGCAAAGCGCACGTTAATGAAAAGCGTCAACAAAAGGTGAGGCGAGGTAGTGACCCCCACCATGGAGGGTGCTCCATCCCCCCTTGCTTACTCTGCTGCTTGACAAACTTTTGGGCACACAATGCAGTTAACTTTATTAAAATGGCTCGCAACGTGTTGTGTGCCGTTGCGTTGCGCTGCGCCGCGTGTCCTTGCCGCAGGACAACACCCGAAAGTAGACAACAGCAACAAAAACGAAAAAAAAAAAAAAAAACACAATCTTTATGGCCAGCTGCAGCTCTCGACATGGTCTGGTTGAGCGTCTGCAATGTGTGGCGTTCGTTTAGTTTCTGTTTCCGTTTCTGTTTCCGAGTTAAGCGTCTGCGGCTGACTCCTGGATTTAAAATGCATGAGCATTGGCCAGCACGGGCCACAGCAGCCGCTATTCAATTTGACCAGGGCTGGGCGCAACTTAAAGCTAATTAGAATGCCTCGCCCAGTGCCAGTTGCCCGTTTGCGGATACCGCAAAGGTAACATTTAGCCAGCTAAAAATTACGACTGGCAGCCACCACTGGCTGGGGACCTGGCCAGAGCGTGTGTGGCAAATTACGCCCGGCTTGCCCAATGAACTAATTGAAATGACACCAAAAAAAGGGGAGAAAAAGAAGAAGAAGACATAATGAAGGAAACTATTGCGAGCAACACCTACGTAGGTTTCACACGGCGTATGCGTGATGCGGCAGCTGCGTGCCTTTGTGAGCAATTCCTTGGAGGGCGGCTGGGTTGCACCCCAGCGACCAGAGTGCCGCAACACTCGCCAGCTATATAAGGTGCGTTGCTGCCTGGCGCTTGCCTGACTTTGTTAACGTACTCGGACTCGGTCATGTCGTCGAACAGCACGGAGCCACAGACACCCATCACTGGCCTGGCGGTGCCCAGGGCACCGCATGCCGCAATGCTGGCCACATCGAACCAGTGGAAGCGCGCCGCCTTGATGGCCAAATCGGCCTCGGCTTGCCGCGAGACCATATCGGATGACAGCGAAGACGAGGTGGATACCAAGCGGCAGATCAAATACGGCAGCGGCTTTCAGGCAGCCAAGGCAATCATCCATGAGTACTGCGATTACAGTACGATTCACGGCATCCGGTATCTGGGCGAGAAGAAGCGGCCCTGGCTGGAGCGTCTGTTCTGGGTCAGTGTCTTTCTGCTCTCGATCTTCACCTGCTTCAAGCTGACCATGAACATCTGGGACAAGTGGAACAACAATCCCGTCATTGTCAGTTTTGCCGAGAAGTCGACGCCCGTCTGGCAAATCCCGTTTCCCACCGTCACCGTCTGCCCGGAGACCAAGTCGCGTCAAACCGTATTCAACTTCACTGACGCCTATTGGCGAATCCGCGATTTCCGCGCTAATATCACCGGACTTAAAGACTTCAATGAGAATGAGTGAGTATCTGGAGGAAGGAGTTACTGACTGAAGTTACTGAAATGCTTTTAAAATTACTTGAAAAGAACCAAGACTCTTCCATCTCCGCGTTAGCTTAACCACAACCAATCTGAACCCTTTACAGACATTTGTTGTACGACGCTGTGAGTCAGGTGTGCGATCCACCGTTGCATGACATAAGCCTCGGGGTTAAAGAGCGCAAGGGCATTCAGATTATTGATTCGCTGAGCGAAGTCAAGCCCCTGTTTGATGATACATTTTTGGACTGCAAGTGGCGCAATTCGCCCACCAAGTGCAAGGAGATCTTTCACAAGGTCGTCACTGAGGATGGCGTCTGCTACAGCTTCAATGCGCTGAGCCCAGCTGAGATCTATCGAGCCGAGGGGTAAGTCTACTCAAGAGTTCGGCCAAGTCCGCATCAATCGAAATCTCGCTCTGTGCAGCATCATACCCGACATTATATTTCGCGAGGAGAATCGCTTGACCACCGAGTGGACTGTGGAGGATGGCTATAGCCTAAGTGCCAATGAATCCACCTACCCACATCGTGTGCTGGGCCCGGGCGCCAAGGCGGGCTTGTACCTGTTTATGGGTGGCATTGAGAAGGACTTTGATGATATGTGCCGCGGCCCCGTGCAGGGTTTCAAGGTAGGGTATTCAGAGACTAGGCCTCTAGCTCTCACCCACTCCCTCTTCCTCTCGCCCTCCCATTTTAGATACTGCTGCACACGCCTGGCGAGGTGGCGCAGACATCGCGTCAATACTTTCGCATACCCTTCGACCAGGAGGTGCTCATTTCGATACGACCCAAGATTATCACCACCTCGGACGGCCTGAAGCACTACGAGCCGCAGAGGCGTCAGTGCTACTTCCAGCGAGAGCGTCGCCTGCGCTACTTCAGCACCTACTCGCAGACCAACTGTGAGCTGGAGTGCCTGGCGAATTTCACGCTCTCGGAGTGCGGCTGTGTCAAGTTCTCTATGCCCCGTGAGTCTCTAATGGAGCTCTTTGAGTCGAGTTCGTTAGACTAATGCCGGGTATCCGTTCTTCATCCCTCAGACAATGTAAATGTGCCCGTCTGTGGACTGGATAAATTGATCTGCTACAACGAGGCTGAGGACAAGTTGTTGGTCCAGGAGTTCAACCAGGGCGTGGCCACCAAGGCGGACAATGTGCGTGGCCAAACGGACTGCAACTGTTTGCCCTCGTGCACCTCAATTGCGTATGAGGCGGAAATATCACAGGCCGACTTCGACTATAAAACGGTGGCCAAGAAGGACAAATCGGAGGAAGACGACGAGACGAAGCGGCAGGGGTACGAAGCGCTTTCAGGTCATCTATCTGTAAGCTCACTCTCTCTTTCTCTCTCTCTCTCTCTCTCTCTCTCTCTCTCTCTCTCTCTCTTTCGTTTAGCATGAAAATGTCGCGCGTTTCCATATTCTTTAAGGAGGCACAGTTTTTGACCTCACGCCGCTCCGAGCTCTACGGCACCACCGACTTTTTGGCCAATTGCGGCGGTCTGCTGGGCCTCTTCATGGGCGTCTCGACATTGAGCATTGTGGAGCTAGTCTACTTCTGCACGGTGCGTTTGATATCCAATTTGCGTATGCGCCGCAGGACACGCAAGGAGCTATCCCAGGCCGCCAACAAGGAGGCCTAAGCACGGACTGCTGCTTATCAATAAACCAGTGGCAATTCATGAAGGATGCTCTTCTAACTCCCTCTCTCTCTCTCTTTCGTACTCTATGTCTGCGTGTATGCAAACAATGGAAATAAATTTGTACTCTTAGCACAGTCAGCATTTGGAGTGGGTAACCGACTTAGGATATAAAGACATACATACATACATGCAGACCCGCATGCTGCCAAAGTCAAACGTTGTGTGTGCGTGTGTGTGTGTGTGTGTGTGTGCATTTCAAATGGAATCAATTATTTTATTGTGTGACTTGCAGCTGCAATTCAATTCGATTGCCAAAAGTCAACAGACGCCGCTGCGATTGAGACAAGGCCTCATCTTTAGCCTTCGCATATGTTATGCAGAGACGGGCCTTTGATTTGCCAGCCCGCTAGACGCTAGAGATCCAGACAGTCCATGCACAGACATATACATACATATCTATCCATCTATCTATCTATCTATCTATCTAGATATGTGGGCTGCGTCTCGTACCTTTAGCTATGCAAATAGCTCGCAGCTTCGTTTGAGTTGTGTGCGTGCGGCTCTAATGGAAATCCAATTGAATTAAGTTAATAATGTTGGCAAATATTTAAACAATAGCAGCAATTTATGCACACACACACGCACACAAACACATGCACACACACACACTCAACCCAAGTGCAATTGTCATTTAGTTTAATTCAATTTGCATGCACGATTCGCGGCCTTTATTAGCATATCATTGGCAACAGTTGTGCAACAGTTGTGTGTGCTGGCAGCTACGTGAGGCTCAGCTACTGAAATATGCATGCCACACACACACACACACATACACATACACTCGCTTGCACGCTGAGTTCATTATGGCAACAAGTGTCGAAATGTGTCGAAATATTGCAAATAAAGTTGACACATTTGCATACCTAATAAAATTTTCCATGCACATGCGGAAAAGTTGTGAGAGTGCAACAATGGGGCGCAGCCTTTTGCATGCCACATGCAGCAGCAGGCATACAAGTGTGGCATGTGTGCATGTACATGTGTGTGTGTGTGTGTATGTGTGTGTGTGTGTGTGTATGTGTGTGTGTGCATTTGGCACTTTCCACTTCGACGCGGCATTTCTGCACGCCAATTTTTATTCAGCGCACAAAAACAAAAGTTAAAATGAAATTTATGACAATTTTATATCGATGTCTGTCGCGGCTGTCTCCTGAGGTTTATCGATCACATATATGCATATATACATATATATTATAATGTATATACTCGTAAATAAAAGCATGAGTGGCACCGAAGTATTATGGTTGGCCTGGCTCGCTTAAGTGAAAGCTCGAAATTCTGTACGCAGACTGAATGTTTCTTTATTTTCTCAGCACTTTAAATATAATCCAAAGAGCTTAAGTTAAGCCGGGTACGAATCAACTGTTATGGATTCAGCAATGGTTAATTATTTATAGGCATTTTTTAATGAGCTGCATTTAAGTATGTGAGTATACCAATATCGATATCAAGCGATTAATTTATATTGCAATAATAATTGATAGCAGGTTTTTAAATTAAGAATGAATAAGTCTACTAAGTATGATAAATATAGATTACCCAAAAAGCACTTAACTTCGATTATTCAATTGTTATCGATAAGAATAATTAAAAGAACTTTACCAGTTTGAACACTGTAAACAAAGGAACACAAATCGATAAAAAAGTTATACACTTATTGATAACAAGTTATCGATCACTTTAATGAATCAAATTTGCTTAAATAAGTCAGATAAGTATCTTGATATATGCTGACAATCGATAATTGACTAATTGAAGGCAATCGATAGTCAAGATCTAGCCATGTTTTATATAATTACTCGTAATTATGCCCAGACTGCTCTACGATAAACAATTAAATTATAGCTTGAACATGCAGCTATAACTTTTATGACAGCTCACTTGAATGTGTATCTCTGTATCTCTGTTTGTCGCACTGCCAGCTCGAATGTGCATAATGTGACATTGGCTATTAGCGACTGAAAGCAGCTCGTCAACTTTGGCCGATGTCAGTAATCAATTTGCATTTAAAATCGTCAGACGGCAGCAATAAACAGAAAGCGAGAGAGAGTGAGAGTGAGAGAGGGAGAGGTAAGGAGGGAGAGTATAACTTTAGCATAACATGACATCTGACATTGGCAGCAACAGCAACAGCAGAAACAACAACAGGAACAACGTCAACAGCTTGACAGGCCCAAACTCCATAACAATATCAATAAAAAAGTTGTTTGCGCTTTTGTAGCAATCGCAAAATAAATTGCAGCGAATTTGTAATTAAACTTTAGCACAATGCAACGTGCAGCTGTCCGCAGTGTCTGACAATAACAACAACAACAGTAGCAAACGAAATGCCTGGCAACAGTCAGTCAAACAGCAACAACAACAACTGCAACTGCAACAACATTGGGCAAAAGTTCGCTTCATTTGCTTGGCATAGCTTTAAATTTCCGGTTTCCGGTTTTAGGCGTTACCCCACACTGGCCAGGCGCTGTCGCTGCTGGTCGCCAATGGCGGCCATGTTTGTTTGTATTTAAGTCGGTTTCTGAGCAACATTTTGCGGCATGCAACAGCACGCGGCTGTCATGTCAGCGCGACTCTGGCTGCTAGTTAGATGGCTGTGGCTGACTGCTTAAGCGGAAATGACTTGAATGCTTTGCCAGGCACACACACAGACACACACAGTTAGACACGTGTGTCACACGTGGCGTATGCGGAATTTCGCACTCGATTGCCAGGCGCACCTTTGGCTGTAGAAAGTTTCGTGTAACGCGATTAGCGGTTTGCATTTTGTTAGCAACTCCCAAATGCCGTTTGCATATGCAATAGACAAACAGCTGCAGCAAACAAACAAACAACAACAACAACAACTGCAACAAACAGTAATTGCTGGCTTCGCTTTCAGCCAAGTTGGAAAAGTCATTAGAAACTTTAAATGCGAATTTCGCAAATTTTGATTAAATCGCGCAACTTGAAAATGTTGCGACAGAACAATTAATAAAATATGCATAGACCAAATTGGTTTCTTCTTTGTGGCAAATCAATGTTTATCGTGACATCAATTGCCAATCGACACACACTCACGCACACACACACACACACACACACACATATCAATATATGCCGACATTGTCACGTAAAGATGAAGCAAGGCATTTGTATGCAAACCGCGCACTAAATTAGATTCTTTTTTACTGCATTGGCATCGCCTGCTCCTGATGATGACAAGCAGGCATCCAACGGCATGCGGATGCGGATGCGGATGCGAATGCGAATGCGGTTACGGATATGCTTCGTTTCGCTGTCCTTGCAGCAACAGCAGCGTGGACGATAAAATGCGTAAGCTCGTTAAAATTGCAGGCATCGCTCCTCTTATAATACGAATAATGATCGAATGATAGACCAAGCGAGGGCACTCCCTCCCTCTCTCCTTCTCTCTCCCTTGCTCTCCTCTCTGTGTGCTGCGTAATGCATAGCGAAATATTTGATTTCAGTCTTGCGTAGGTTAGCGTATCAATGAACCCTCCGTTGGCTCGGCACATAAAATGTTGATGGGCGTGTGAAAGGTCTGTTGAATGAGGTCTTAACGCAAGGTCTGTGGCCTCTTAAACTTATATTCCATTGCGTGAGACATGTAAATTTTGATGTTCACGCCAGTTTCGTTAATGGGAAAACTACATACATATGTGTTTGGGTTTATTTGCCTAACGTGCTGTTTCTATATGTTCCTGAGAATAATATCAACTACTTACTTGTAGTCAAGGAATCTTGTATCAAAGTAGAGCCGGATCTTTCAATAGGATATATTTTCCATTGCTGCGGTCGAATTAAGGTTAAGCCATAATCTAAAAAACTTAAATAATAAAATGTATATAAAAAAAAAGATATATAACATGAAATACATTTATGTATTTTTAATGCATATTAAATTTTATTAAAATATTTTAACAAACAAAAGAGTTCTATTAACCTTCTAAATGATATATATGATTTTCTTTTAAGTATTCGAGGAACAGAAGCTAAGTCTATAGATATCAACAGTTCTATATATAGGATATTTTGTCAGTTGAAGTCATTTATAAATATTTATAAAATTATGCCATTTTCCATTTCATTTTCATAAATTCAAGTAAGTTTCTACACATTTTCTCTTTTTATTTATTTTTATTTAAAATATTATAATTTAATTTTCCTTTTATTTTTCACATAGACCGTCCCATTCATAGATCTCATTTCGAATCATATTTAAATATTTATAATTTCTCTATATAGAAAAGCTGAAGCCGAATGAAATCCCGCCTTTGTTGAGAATATAATCTAGAGCCAACAACAGCAGCAGAAACTGTTTGCTGCCACAAGTGCGACTCATTCCACATTGTTTATCCGCATCTTTACGAGAGCTGCGTTCTGTTGGCCCAGTGAACATAAATTAAATACACTCACATACAGACTCGGACTCGGATGCTCGTACTTATTATGCATTACCTAATGAAAAGTGGGTGGATGCCGGGTGGCAGCAGCAGGAACTCTCAGGAGGCGAGGCGGGTCGAGGCGAGGTGAGGCGGGGCGTAAGCAAATAATAAATAAATAAATAAACGAAAAGCGCAAATAACATTTGAGCGCCAGATTTAATTTCTAACGTTGAGTGCGCATATTAAAACAGGCAGTCAGGACGTGAAAACCAACAGCGGGGCGGGGCGGGACGGGGCGGAGGCGTGGTGGGGCAGCAAACAAAGATGATGCGGATATCACTGCGTCTGCTGCCAGGAGGAAGTGCAGCGGAAATGCGGGTCGAAGACCAAAAAGAAACAATAAAACCAACAGAGATAGAGAGAGAGGGAGAGAGAGGGCGAGAGAGGGAGAGAGGCAGTGGCTGTGAAAGAGATAGCAGAAGTGAGAAAGCCGGCAAATGTTGGCAAATTAAACACGCCAAGTGTTGGGCGTGGCGGAAGGCGTAATAGAAGTTAGCGCGGGTAAACAATGAATTACGGAATCATGAAAGCAAATTGACTTTAATGCAAAAATCAAATATTTACACAGCGCGAGAAAAACTGAACGGCAATGCAATTGCAATGCAAGAGCGAAAAGAAACCAGTGAGTGGGAGAGAGGGAGGGAGAGGAGACGACAGACAGATATACAGACGCAGATAAAAGACAAACAAAATACAAACAAAGGGAAAACACACACACACACACACAAACAAATTGAGGTTATGTTAGACGTTGCTCCGGCCCTAAAAACTCGTTTCGGCACTTAAATGCCAATGCAAACACACACTGAGAGAGAGAGAGAGGGAGAGGGAGAGAGATGGGAGAGAGAGAGAGCTTGTCTGAGCTTAGATGTAACTGGGCATTGGATTGGGGTTTTTTGGGGGTCTGCGGCATATCCGGTTTTTGAGTGTACGTTATTAGCCCTTCGCTGCTGTGGCCGGCCGGCCAGCTGGCTGGCTGGCTGTCCGGCGTGTCTGCATTTTACGATTTCATTCATTTTTGTGGCTGCCATTCGACGCCGCAAAATATGCAACAAAATTTTATTTCCAGCTTCGCACACTAGAGCCGAAATAAAAATAAAAACTATTATCTAATGTTCTGCAAAGCGGCCAATGGCCAATGGCCAATGGCAAATGGCAAATGGCCAGCATTCATTTTCATCCAGCAGCTTTATGGAAATTTTTCAATTTCTCTAAGAATTTTCCAATTAGAAAACAAGCAACGGTCATTACTCCAGCTGCCATTCGCCAACCCGAAATACCCGAAACAAAAAAAGAAAGGGAGAGTCTATAAAAAATGGATGATATCTAGTGGATACAAGAGCACAAATCTGAAACCCATAAAAGTGTCGCCCCAAAAACCCAAAGCGACAAGCGACAATCGAGCATCGAGAAGCCAACAAGTGAAATTGAAACATTGCACGGATACAAATTGATGATGAAGTGTCCTCCGAGTCCTGCGGGATTTTTTGTTCGACTCTTTATGGCTCCACAGAGGGCATGGCGAATATATGAATTGCCTTGCGTTCTGGTCAATGTGATTGGTTGGGCAAATGCACTGAGCTGCCCTTCTGGTTGACCTACAATGGTGTACTATATATACATATGTATAGTTCATGGACAATTTATGGCGAATGGCAAATGCGAATGGTGGATAATTATTGAGGTATATTAATAGACACATTTTATGCCTAAATGGCTGAATATTTTTATATTTATGTATATAGAAGTTGGTAAAATTCATAGTGGATGGAAAATGTGCAGTAATTAGCTTAGCCTATAGAAATACTTCAGAAAAATCATTTTAGCGCTCATCTTAAATGTCTGAAATATAAAAAGTATATAAGTTTTTATAGTAAAAGCATAATTATTATTTTTAAATGCTTTTTTATTATTTTTTTTAAATTTATTTTATTTATTATATTTATTTTTTTTTTATTTATATTATTTTATTCAATTTTTCTTAAAATTATTGATAAAAATACTTATATATTATTTTCATTATTCATAATTTTTCCATAATATTCAATAAAAATATTTGTAAATATATATCTATAAATATTATCTACAAATTCTATACATAACAAAAATGATATTATTCAAAGAACATAAATAAATCATTTAAAAAATTTTTTAAATAAAAATCTAAAAGACAACAAAGTTCTTCGGGTACATTGAATCATAACGTAAAATCTATCCGTATATACACTCCACTTTTACTTTTAGAGCATTTCGAATTCGCCTCGCCGCAGCTCAGCTGCTCGTCATCATTCAGTGTTCCCGTTACATATTACTTTTTATTGCGATGCGAGGCGATGATTGACACCTCGTCTGGCAATAAATTTTTAATTTTCAAAGCGCCGTGATAGACTCTCACTGACTGCCATCTAGTAGACTGCCTGCCTGGCTGCCTGCCTGGCTGCCTGGATGACTTTTGCTGAGTGACTAACTGGGGACACGCTCTCGATGCGAAGCTTGTTAAATTCAAATTAGAGCCTGGCTGCCTCATAGAGTTGGCGCTGACAGCGAAGATAAATGACAGTGCGCTGTGCGATCGCAACAAATTAACCTTGTTAGGGGCTGCAGCCTGCAACAGTTACAAGTGTATGTAATTTTTTATCGTCTCTTGAGCAGACACAGACCGCCCAACCGCCCAGCCGCCCGGCTGCCCCTCCCGCCTCTTCAAGAAGCTGCAGCTTGTTGGCCCACTGACTGACTGACTTATGAATGGCGTGTGGCAGCGCTTGAAGTGGAAAAGAGTCGAGTCGAGTCGAGTCGTCGGATGGAGGCGGGGAGAGTGGGCGTAGCTCTACTACAGTTCTCTGCTCAGCATCGATAAATCAGTTTGTATATCAAATTGAATTCACGAGCGTGCACTTGACACCAGCACACGCACATTTATCAGCCCGGCTCGGCCCACCCTCTGCCCCTCAACTCAACTGCAGTGGAAGTGCTGCAAGCGGAGAACAACAAGAATCTTTGGCTTTAACTGGCGTATGAAAGCGAAGCCACAAAATTTTAATTTCAGCTAAGAGCGAAGGCAACAGAAATAAAAAATCAAAAATAAAAAAAATATCAGCGCTTTTGCATTATAAATTATTCATTACATTGGGCGCCGGCCACGCCCACTGGCAGCCACCGCGCGCTGACGGCTGCTCGTTTGCACCTAATTTGATTTTTAGTTGTGTTGAATGGGTCTACAGCGCCCAGACCACACTCGGCTTATCTCTCTCGCTCTCGCTCTCCCTCTCTTTCTATCACTCTTTGGTTGCGCGCCAGCACTGGCTGCGTTGCGGTTTAGCCCGTGGCAATCTTTTTTGTTGCTACTGCCACACACACACACACCCACAGCGAAGGCAGGAAAAACATGTGAAGCAGGAGTATTGGCCACGCCTTGGCTCTTGCCCGTTCGCCATCTTTTGGCTTTCATTCATTTGGAGTCCGTCGAAAAAATGTCTGTTATGTGGCTGGCAGAATTCTGCAGTAATTAATGGCAACTGTTTGATTAAAAAATTCCATAGACTGGAGACGTTCATATGAACCGAACCGAGCCGAACCGAACCAAATTCAACCCAAACTGAGCTAAGCGAAACCGAGGCAAACGCCACAGCAAATCTATGCAAATTCCACAAATCGCTTTAGAATGGCAACTTGACATTTCTTGTCTGTTTTTTTTAATTTTTTATATTTATACATATGTATGTTAGTCTTGCATTTGATAGCTGCAGAGTTATGTGATACATTATTTGTTGTTTGCACACCTGAAAATATTCAATTACATTTTCTAAACACTTCAAAAGCAATTTCAACTCAAATATTTATGTTTTTTTGTTGCGATATATATTTAATTGCCATTGATAAAAACTGAATTTATGCATAAAAAAAGAAGACATAGAGACAAAAATGGTAAGTGCTTATATCAAATAAAATATATGAAAGTGGAATAAGGAATTTCCCGATTTTGACTCAACAGAGCTCAGGTAAATGTTGTCAGATCTTCAAGAACGTAGTTCAGTTCGAGCTTTGAGCTTAGGAAACTTTAATGCGGTACAGCTTATGATATTGTCTAATGGAAATTATTTATAAATATATATATATGTATATCTATGTATATATATTCAGAGACCATTTAACCAGATCTTCATAGAACTCCAGCTATTATATTGTCGTTCATTTCCTTTGATTATGCTTCGATTCCGTTTCAGCTCGCAGTAAATAAATCGACGCAGAGTCTGAACTGTGGTCAGTCAGTCTTTGCCCCCGGGAGGAACTGGGTATTGACTGGATCGCGCTGGATTATCCTGTCCTTCATGATCGTATGCTTGGTTAGTTAATGCACGACAGTTGCACAAATCTATTGATACATGATGATATATACATACATGTTGAAAGATCTCAGCCATCTTCGATGTTTACCACTGCTCGGTGATTGTCAACTGCTATTGGGATACTCCAGACTGTGATTTTGTGCCGTATGAAATTGTTATGCTTGTGGGGTCTGTGATAGTGTCTGTCGTTTTACTATTGGGATTTATCTTGGTGCTCTTTCAGAACGTGGAGACATTGCGCAGTGTAAGTCGTGTAGTATTCGATATTATATGATTATCCCCGATATTATGTGATATCCGTGTGCAGTACTTGACAGGTCTGCTCTCCTGTAGTTGGCTGCAGCTAATGATCAACATGGTGCTCACACAGACCTATCCGCTCGTCCACGAAGTCCACTTGAAATGGGCTAGGGCCGAGGCCCTCACTACCTATGAGATAAAGGTGAGTCGATCTGCCCAATCAATTTCGCTTTCCCACTTGGAGTTCCCTCCCATAGTACAAGTGCTGCGGCGCCCAGGGCCCCGATGATTATCTGCTCGCATATGGGGAATTACCGCGCAGCTGCTTCACCACTGAAAGCCGAACGACCCATACTCTGCACTCCACGGGCTGTCTCCATGCGAATGGAAGGAGCGAGCATTTCATTCACTTTCAGCTAGTCACTCCGATTTTACTGGTTAGCCTGAGCGTGTAAGCATAGGGAGCGATTAATGTGCCTATCGTATATCGATTACAGCTATTGCTCATCGTTATGTCGACCGTCTTCTATTGCTATCTGAGGCGAATCAAGGCGCCCAGACGCAGCTGTCAAGAATTGCGTGCGGAGTGCTTCATCCTCTAGTGGCAAATTGAATTTGCATTTGGAAGACAAATTGGATGGCATTGAATTGGGTGGGAATTTCAATGGGAATTGATATTGGCAGGGACTTACACTTCTCATATTTCACCAGCTCCAATCAATAACGATAAACACTCGAGTGTCTGCCTGGCTGGCTGCTTGAATCCTTGTTAGCCATTGTCCGCCCGTGTCCGAGCTCGGCGCGCTCTGCATATGCATGAGCCAATAAAGAAATCAACAAAGGCGAATTGAAAACTATTGCAAATACCCAAACAACTCGGCTCGGACAGCTAACCAGCTGAATACTCGGAAACAATATGCAAAGGCGAAATGCAGCCAAGCGACTGAGCACATATTCAAGGACAATCGGATGGCTTGGACCAGGATGTTTGAGAGTTTTTACATATTTTAGCTGTCGCTCTGTCTGTCTGTCTGTGTGCATATACATTTTATTGTTGTCAACATTAAATGAAAAACAATTTTCATGACCGTCCAAATGCATAAAACATGCCCAGCAGTACGTCTAACTTTATGGCTAAATAGTTTGCTGCGGCCCAAGCAGTTAATACTATTTTTTCTGTAATTTTTATTTTTATTTTTTTTTTTTCAGCTGCTCGACAATTTGGCAAAACTTTTCCGCCACAGACCTCCATAACCATAACAATAACAATAACAACACTTTGGTCAAGCTGCTGAGCTGCCGAGCTGCCGAGCTGCCGAGCTGCCGATGGGTCCCATTGCAAAGTTTATGGCTGCAAAGGCGAGTCCAACTCGGGTCTAACTGAAAAACCAAAAGGGGTCATGTGGCTCATTAAACTTTGGCCAACAATTTTTTGTGCGCCTTTCCGCCGCGTCGCCTCGCCCCCGCTGCCAACAGAGCGCAAAGACAAACAAAAAGTTTTGCACTAAATATTTTGCGACCCTCTGAAAAAAGAATGAAGATAAATATATGCATTTATATATGGAGTGGGCGACGCTTGATGGGGATGAGTCTGGGCGTGAGGCATAAAATTATGGCACACATACGCCCCATTAAATGTTGAACTAATGTGAAGGGCAGCGCTTAGCGGGTGGAGAACTAGAGAACCCCTCTGACAGAGAGATAGAGGGAGAGAGAGAGAGGAAGGAGAGAAAGATAGTGATCGTGTAATACAGAATAAGAGAGAGAGAGGGAATAAGCCAGAAACAGAGAGAGCAGGAGAGAAAACAGAGGGAGAAAGAAATATATAGATGCAGAAAGAGAATGAGGCAAAGCACAGAGACGTAGCGAGAGAAAGACAGATATAGAGCGGCGGAGAAAGAACGCGAGACAGAAGATATTAGAGAGAACGAATATAGACTCTAATAGGCAAAGAGATAAACAGAGAGGGCAAAAGCTAAAGTAGAGAGAGATGGAGTGATGATAGCCTGGGCCCAAAAGAGGAGAGAAGTAGAAGAATATGGAAAGGCAGGGGAATGAGACAGCGAAAAGGAACGAAATGATCAAGAAAGATCGAGAGAATGAAAGGCAGAGACAGATATAATAAAAAAAGGATGTAGGAGAGTGTATATGGAAGAATGGAACAAAGTTACACAGAGTAGAGCAAATGAAAGAGAGCGGAGTATTGGTACAGAAGGAAATGAAATGCGGATATGAAAGATGGAACAGCGAGATGGAGAAACAGACAGAGGAGCAATAATAAACCAGGATTGTTATGGATTGCGCATTATATATTATGCATAAATATATCTTATATAATATCGTCAAAATAGAGCTGCTTATCAAACAACTCAACAAGTTTTGCCAACCTCTCGCTGAGCTGTTGTCAAGTTAATGTCGCGTCATAATGTCGCCAACTGCCATTAACTGAGCAGAGACCGACGATGGAGCAAAGTGGAACAAATAAACCAGTTAAAATTTCTAAAATCAACAAAAGTAAACAAAGGCAATTGCTTATAGTTTTTTTTTTCGCAACTAAATTTTAATTTTCGTGTGATCAACAACAGTTACAACAAGAGCTGAGCGCCAGGGCTCCACTTAGTAGCCCCAGTGGGAGCCAAAGCCGTCGAAGCTGACGTGAGCGACGCCAATGGCGGGCGAGTACTTCACATAGGCAGCGGGGGCAGCCAGGGGTGCGGCATATGAGGCAACTGGAGCGGCATAGGTCTTGGCCAGAACGGGAGCTGGAGCAGCATAGGAGACAGTCTTGGCGACGACTGGAGCCGGGGCAGAGTAGGTGACAGCTGGAGCGGCATAGGAGACAGTCTTGGCCAGAACTGGAGCTGGGGCAGAGTAGGTGACAGCGGGAGCAGGAGCAGCAGCAGCATAGATCGACTTGGTGACCACGGCAGCAGGTGCGCTGTAGAGAGTCTTGGGCGTGTAGACGTTGTTGGTGGTGCGCGAGTCCACCTTGCTGAAGCTGGAGTAGGGTGTCACGACGCTCTTCGACTGGGTGGCGACGGTGCCGCCGAAGGAGCGCACCACATTCTGCTGGGTGGTGCCGACGGCATCGTAATGTGGCTGCGCCACCTTGGTCAGCACGGGAGCAGCGGCAACGTAGCTGGTGGGAGCCAGGTAGCCAGCATTGGCGGCGCCGAGCACAGCGCAGATGGAGAGGAGGACGTACTGGAATGCCATGACTGCTGGAAGAGGTTGTTGTTTAGCTGCAACTGGAATGGTTACTGATGCCTAACTGGAGCGGCGCCGCAGCTTAAATAGCCAAAAAGCCAACTGGCCAAAATGTGTTGGCCAAAAAACATTTCACGGTCGCAATGGCCTTAACATTTGCGAGACAGCGCGACTTAGGCCTAAGCCGCCGCCCCAAAGAAACCAAAGAAACCAAAGAGACTGAAACTGGTTCAATGGGTCGGCAAATGACGGGCCAAATTGCTGCGCGAACTGGAGTTGGAGCTGGAGTCGATGTCGAAGTTCGAAAAGTGAATTATTTTGAATACTATCAGCAGCTCATAAATTTTCCAGAGAACAACAACAACAAAAACTTTTATTGCGTTCGCGCGTATTTTTCCATTAAATTGAGTTCAACTCAAGCAGCAAATATGCCCCGCCCCGCACCGCCCAGCAGCCCAGTCAAGGACTCTTCAGCTTGTGTCAACTTTTTGCTGTGGGGATGTTATTTTTTTTCTGTATTCTTCTTCTTCTATTTTTTGTTTTTTGTTTTTACTCTTGTTGTTTATGATTTTTGTACTTTCGTGCAAGTTTTTTGGCGCTGCTCCTGTGGCGCACGGGGCGCATGATGAATATTTATTGAAATTACCAAAGTTGCCGCCTGTCCCCCAAATTGAATTGTGTTGCCAACTTGGGATGGCTGCCACGCCCCATTTCTTTAGCCGCCCATGCTTTAGAGACTCTCGTTTGCTCTCAGTTTTGTTTTTTTTTTTTTTTGGCAAATTGTTATTAATTTTACACGTGTGCCGTTGAGTCCGTCGCTCAGCAAACGTAATTACGACGTTTAATTTATGGTCACAAATTGGCTTTCAAATAATTGCCAAATACTCAACGGACAGACAGAGAGACAGAAAGACAGGCAGACAGTCAGTCGGACAGACAATCCGGCTCAGCAATACAACAATTTCGCATCTCTCATTGTGGGCCGGCTCAATTACCAAACATTCGTCGTTTTTGGCACGCGTCAGCCGCGTATAAAAGCCACAACATTTTGGCCAAATCAGCATCAGTCGCAGCCCAGTCAGCCGTCAGCTAGCAACAGTCCAGTTCATTCCATTCCGCACAATGGCCTTCCGTTACGTCATCTCCCTCTGCGCCCTGGTGGCCTACGCCAATGCCGGCCTCCTGGCCAGCCATGTGGCCGTGGCTAATCCTGCCGTGGATGCCGTTGCCTCCACGCAGCAAAATGTGGTGCGCTCCTTCGGCGGCACCGTCTCCAGCTACTCCAAGGCCGTGGACACGCCCTACTCCAGCGTGCGCAAGACCGACACTCGTGTCCAGAACAATGTGTACACCCCGGCCATTGCTAAGACCACCTATGCGGCTCCTCTGTACACTCAGGCCACGCCTCTCGTCCAGAAGACTGTCTACGCTGCTCAAGCTCCAGTGCTGGCCAAGACCGTCTCATATGGTGCTCCATCCATCACCTACTCTGCTCCAGCTCCAGTTGTGGCCAAGACTGTTTCCTATGGTGCTCCAGCTGTCACTTACTCTGCCCCAGCTCCTGTGCTGGCCAAGACCGTCTCGTATGCCGCTCCTGCTCCTGTGCTGTCCAAGACCGTCTCGTATGCCGCTCCTGCTCCTGTGCTGGCCAAGACCGTCTCGTATGCCGCTCCTGCTCCCGTCCTGGCCAAGACTGTCTACTCGGCGCCCGTGATCGCCAAGAGTTATGCCGCACCAGCTGTCGCCTATGCCGCACCACTGGCCACCACCAACGTGAACCATGGACCCAGTGCCACCACCTACACCCACAACGCACCCGCTCTGGGCGTCTCCAGCTACGGCAGCTCCCAGACCGTGCGCTACTCGCCCGCCGAGAGCGTCTCCCACATGAGCTTCGATGGCTTCGGCACCCACTGGGGCTTCTAGACACGCACTGGCGCCACGAATTGTTGAAACTTCTTGTTAATGTTGATTGTTTCGTTAATATTGATAATAAAACATATTGAAAAATCACATTTGTGTTAAGCCTTGGCAAAGCTTCCGTTACGAGGCTGGGCCACAAATCAGCGGCGGGGCTAAGCAAAGTGAAGTCAAACAAGCTGTAAGCGCGCAATTGTTCAATGAATTATATCAGAGCAGCTGAAAACAATTGGAGCTACAGCTGGAGCTGGGAGTCAAAGCTGAAGCTGAAGCTGGAAGCCGGTTTTTGCGACGTCATCTCGCTGGGTCGCGGTGGCCTTCGCTTGGCCGCTAAGCCGCTTTCTGCGCGGCTCGTGGCGGGGGCGTGTTTACGCCTCACAATTACTATATGCCATTAATTGGATTTAACATTTATTTTCGCACACCTACCAGTTAAGTGCCCCCTGGCACTGGCGAAGGCCCATTCGCCCATATTGATCTGCGAAATGGACATCGAAATCGAAATCCGTCTCATTGCCATTCAGTTTGGCCAGAGCAAACAGAGTCAATTGTGGCCCGCTTAGTTGTGCCTTTTGCACTTGCCATAATTATTGTCTGTTAATTATCGGCTCATTCAGCTGATATAACAGCAGTCAGAGTTGCGTTTGCTTTCTGGGTCACTCGGCAAGCAGATATCATAATGTTTTTTGGTAATACTTGATTTAACAAGGGTTACTGCTCTGGGCGTGTGATCTTGAAGTTGTTTGAGAATAAAAGACAAGGCTGCGGGAGACTTTTGAGACAATTAATGGATATACATTAAATAGACATATAAATATGAAATATATATATACAATTTTAATGCAATAAATTCATACATAAATCTTGCGGAAGTAAATGATTTACTATTACTAACTCAAGGAAAATATAAATATATTTTATTTTATGTTTATTAATAAATTTATATATATGTATATATTATGATTTTTTTTTTAAAGAGTTTGCTCATCAGCTTATATTATTTACAAAAAAGGTATATAAATTGTGTATATATGTATATGTGTGTATATTTAAAATATCTTTTAATGAGTCAATTTTTTTGTATAAATAAGTAAAACATTTTTCCATAGAATATAATTTTTTTTTTAATTTTTAATTATATTTATTATATTTTTGTATATACATATAAAATATTTGTTAAAAAATATATATAAAATATTTGTATAATATTATAGTATATTTTATTTAATTCAATTATTTATTTTTTGATTCTCAAGGAATTATTTATTTTAAATTTAATATTTATTGATTTTTTAATTATTTTTTATTTCAATATTTTTTTTATTTTGAAGCAATTATATACTTCATATTTATTTTTATTAATTTATAATTTTTGAAGGAATTATATATTTAGGATTTAATTTTAGACGTAAACAAATTCCATATTCGTCAGCTAGGTTTTTAATATTTTGTGTTAATTTATTTTAATAATTTTCAAAGGCATGTTTAATTGCAATTAACCTTTTCGATACCTGCTTTAACATCTATGTTATGTTGATATTTAAATAAATAAATAAAGTTGTAAATAGCCTCAAAACGCATGCAAATTCCTCACTGCATCAACTCAATCACTTTGACACTCAGCTCAAGTCTCGGCCGCAGCTAATTTATAAAAGAGCTTCGTCATACTCTCAGGTGTACGGATGACACTCATAACTGGCTCGCACTCTGGCAATTGGCATTCGACAGGCGTCTGTCCAATCATCTAATTGAAAGCTGATTAAAAAGTGATTGTAAAACACTTTATTTTGGATTTGGAGCAGGCGTTCGGCTCAGACCACAGACCACAGTGCGAGATGACATTGATTTCTCGACAATTCCCTGGCTAATGCGCACATAAACAATCAAATTAAATGAAGATATGCATTAAAAAGCAGACAAAAGGGCAAGACTCAAACACGTTTTTCTTACGAAATTAGCTGCAGTTGTGATTGCGCATACGCCATGTGGGCCTGATTCCTGTCTGTCTATCTAGGGCCCTCCCTCTCTCTCTCTCTGTGTGTCTCTGTGTCTGTCTGTCTGCCTTGACAATTAGTCAATAATTTATTTCAATTTCATTTGGCATACCAAGCATACACAGAGAGAGAGAGAGAGAGAAAGAGAGGGAGTGGTATGAGAACTGGCCTAAGTGCAGTTTAATTACATTTGCATTTTGGCTTTTGCTTGTGCTTGGGCTTTTGTTGTTGCTTTCTTGCTTTTGGTTTTTGCACAAACTGCTTGCGCATGCAGCTGAGCATAAGCAATTGTTGCAATGCAATTTGCTTAAGCGAATTTTCATCATTTAAATAACAGAACATTATGCTTTATTGTGTTTATACGACGCACACAAACACACAGAGAGTGGGAGAGGTAGAGCGAGTTGGGCCCAGATAAAAAGTTCGTTTCTCACTCTCGCACTCGCAGTCACATTCCCAGTCTGTTGTCCGGTGTCTGTGCAGCTATGTCCTGCTATAATTAAATTATGAAAGGACATAAGACGCATAATAAGTCATAAATCAAATTTACCTATCCCACGGGCCAGCCCCACAACAACAGCCAGGCAGCCAGACAGCCGAGCTCTGCTGCCAGACACCCTTACATAGTATTTGTGACCTCAGCTCGAGCGCTGCCCAGCTGAAGCCAAGCCCGGCCAGTCCAAGTCAACTCTTGGGCCGTAATTTGATGGACATTATGACGACTCTGTCTCGGCAAACAATTAGACAATTGATGCATCTGTGTCTATTTGGCCAATGCCACCCGCTCCACCCTCCCCCTCCCCCTCGCCCTCTCCCACTAGGCCCAGACAGCTGTGACTGTGACTCGAACTGTGACTGCATTTTATGTTGTCCACGTCATGGCCAAGCGCTCCACTTTCGAGTGTCCAATTGAAAAGTTTGTGCAACAGCAAATGTTAACTGTACATGCCAGTCCACTGCAATAATTTCAGTGTTGCCGAGCTGCTGCTGTTTTTGCTGTTCATCGTGTTGGCCAACATTGAAAGGGCCGCATTTTCGTTCGTTTTGTTAGCTGCTGCAAATGTATTTGGAGCCGTGCGATTTGGCTATTATCGAAGATGACAAATTCAGTCATGACAGTCGAAATTTTAGTTATTACTCGTTTTTTAATTAACTGAATCAATAGCGCTATTAAATATAATTGCTAGCATTAATTATTATTCAGTTTGGCATTTAATAAAATAAAAAAAATGTTACAAATATAATTTTAAAATATATTATTACAATTTTTTATTTTTATTATACATTGACGATTAGTTTTTATTTTAAATAAAAATTTATTTCTAATATTTGGTTTTACTTCAACAAGATGAGTCTTAATTTTAATTATTTCAATTATTATTAATTTTTATTTTTATTATTATTAAATAAAATTTGTTAAAATATATAATTTTTTATAACATTTAATTTTAATATTTATTCAATAATAATCATAAATTGAAGAAAAATTAATAAAGTATTATTTTAAATTTTAATGATCGTTAATTTTTCTTAACTGCATATCTTTGATTTTACCAAAGATAATTAAAAGTAGTCTAAAAGTGTCTAAATAATAATCCTATAATTAGTATAAATTATACTAATAATAGATATAATAATATATATTACTAATAATAAAAATAATAATATATATTATATATCTAACAGAAAAAGGTCCTTTTTCTTAGGAAATTTCCTTTCTGGATGTCGCCACAGCTCGCCCCAAACTCTCGCAACATAAACAAATTTAGAGCTTGTTTAACGCAAATGCCAGACAGAGTTGAAGCTGAAATAAAGAAGAAAAAGAATAGAAGCTGAGAGCCCAGGCAGCTCAGACAACTCACAATCGCGATATGTCATAGTCGCAGACAAAGGTCCAGCCAAAAGATGTGAGTTTGGTCTCTCTAAGAGACGACCGCTCCCACCCCCTGAGTGCCATCTTGTTGAGCTGCTCTCAACTGATACGGATCATTGCTTGGCCCACGGCTGTGCTGGCCCAGCGCTGTAGATTAAAATTTAATTTTTAATTTAAAGCCTGTTTGCATTTGATTTGCGTCTTGTTGTGGCGTAAATAAATGAGCAAGGGCACAGGCGGGGCCTCAAAGCCCAGCCCGCCTGTTGATTTATCATCAGTCTATGCAAATTCGATGCTCACCTTTCTAGCCGCTATCGAGCGCAGCCACGTGCAATGTCAATGTGAAGCGATTAACATTCAATTAGCTTTTTGGCTTCATCAATGATTTTATCGCCAGCCATTAGATGCGGCTGGTTGGGCGGGGGAGTTGTTGGCGCGTGTGGGGCGACTCCTGTTGCGGCAGCTCCTGTTGCTGTGGCTGCCTTCAGTGTAAATTGTGGCAAATTATCATTAGCTTTCTGTTGTTGTTGTTCTGCCTCTCTCTCTCTCTCAGTCACTCTTGCTGTGTGTGTGTGACAACATCTTTACATCTTCAAAAGGTTTTTATGACATCAACAGCTGTCGTTGACAGATTATTGCGGCGATTATTTCAGCAGGCAAAGCAAAGGGACAACCAACACGGACATGCCCAACTGGCAAGGACAGCCACTGACTAGGGGTCTGTGGGCCGTGTGCCCTGTAGGGGTTGTTCCACAGCAGTCGATACTGTCTTCTCCTTTAGCTTTGTGCGCTCAACTGGAAATTGTCAACAATGTTCCACTTGCTGTTGCTGTGGTTGTTGTTGTTGTTGTTGTTGTTGTTGCACATGTGGCTCTGGCTGACTACAGTTGAACATCTTGTGGGCTGGCTGTTGTAAATAACGATGTTTCACTTGAAATACTTGTCACTTATGTTCACAGTGTTTTCATTTTTTTTTCAGACTAATCGTATTACTCAATATTTACAGTTATTCAGAATTTGCCATGTGCCGTATTTTTACGCAGCGATGTCTTAAAATCGCTACGATAACCTCTCTATGCATTCTGCTGGTAAGCTCTTTGTGCAGAAGTTTGTCCCTCGTATACCCATCTTATCCGTCTATCTATCTACCCATCTATTTATTGACAGCAATTTTCCATTGCCGAAGTGGGTGTGAATATTACATATATTTTGAATCAGACTTGTTTCAGAGTTTTTATGATCGTTTCGAGCGCAGCTACGGTTATATTCATGATCATTATATCAACCATTGGAATGATAGTACTCTTTGGACAGAACAGACTCAGACCCTTTATAGTAAAGTTTTTTTAAAACATATTAAAATTTTGCTTTATTAATGAGCTTTGCGTTTTCAATTTAAGCTTTTGATTGGCTATGGCAAAGCGCTTAAAGCTTTCGCAAGTAATCAAGTATTTGAATAAGCTTAAAGCTCGCTCATTTGAAGATTTCGTTATTGCATCAAGTTCATTTAATAAATAAAAAAATAATGCAAAGCTTGCTAGCGTTTTTAAAGCTGTTTGATATTGTGAATGCTCAAGCTTAAAGCGCACATACGATTAAGTTTAAATTTAATCTAATAAATATTTTGCTTACGTTTTAGTTGGCTATCTGCCTGTTAGTATATCTCACAGTGAAGTCCATTCTTTGGATACTCTCCCAAGACCGGGAAAGGAAAACGATAATGTCTAAATTATCCGATATATTCTTTACCCTATCCACAATATGTACTGTGAGTGAATCAATGAGAAAAAGAGTGTGTGAGAGAGGGAGAGAGAGACCCGTTTATGATTGTACTACTTTATATTTTCGCATAGATTATCTCGATATTATTAGTCACATCGTTGGTCTGGAAGATCGAACACAGCTGAGACTTTTGCTTCGTTTTCACTCAACATCAACATTTGTGTAAATTGATTCAGAAAACATGTGCTTCCTACGACTATTTGTACTCCAGATCCAAACGGTCGGGATGTGTTTCATAGTTTTGGTAAGTTGGTAATTGTGAGTCGAAGGAAAGAAACTGAATACAATTCCTCTCCATTAGATATGTAATACGTGTAATCTTTTCTATGGCATACAATTTGCTGGCAATTTCGAGGGCCCAGCGAGAAGCCTGCTGATTGTGTCAATAATACTGGACTGTGTTCTATTTCTGACCATTTTCCTGGGCACTTATGGGGTTCTTCTTCATAAGCAATGGCCCCTGAAGCTAGTAAGCTCAAGTTCTTTAATATGCTTCACTAGTTCACCTTGTTTACCTGATCCTCGCTAGTATATATTCACCCTGATTGCCTTCTTCATAAGCAAGGTATTGATTGCGGATCAAGCAGTGGACTTTGATACCAAATTCTATTACACCCTGGTGAACCACTGGTACCACATGGAAACAGCCCTTTCGGTAAGTAGATAAACTTGAGACAACTATAGTTGTACGATTATTATATTGATATTTTTTGCTTCAGGTTTTATGTTTAATCTTTGTGTTTTCATTGTACCTAAAATTGGACGACGTGGGAGACTTCAGGTAACACGCTTTCAAATAAAATGCAAATGATCTGGAATTAATAACAAAATTAATTGAGTTTTACATGAGAACGACGTGGTACACAACATTAGCTTTCACTCAGGTGCTTTAAGAGGCTCTACTGACTTATTGGACTGGTAAGACCTAGTAGCTTTCAATAGACATGTCTTCTTTCAGTTGTTGTGTTTGTTGATAATCCAAGTAGTCCATTTGTTTTTTATATTTTTTCCCTATTTCAGAAGGAGAATATAACAATTTGGCAGTAGCTATATGAATAGAATTTCAATTAAATATAAGCATGTGTTTCTTTCAGTTTGAGACTCTTAGGTATACGGCCATGAGCGTGATCATCGTTTTCGCAGTAAGTTCTTATCTGTTTTCACATATGCATGTATAAATATTCAGCTAACTGTAATCTGTTTAGGGTTGCAATTTTTTTGACGACAGCATTACCGTAATGACCCTATGTGAAGGCCATGAAAAAATTAAAAGAGGTCTAATCGTATCGCTTGTAATGAATACCGTAGCGTATATTCCAGTTGTCACTGGTTTTTATGGAACCTATCGCAATCACATCTTGAAGCTACAGCAGGTGAGTCCAAAGTCGCAATTATTATCAACATTTGTTCTTTTCATAACTCCCATTAATACCAGTTCATAATCACAATGATGGCATATTTTTTCGGCAAAATAGTATTAAGCAAATTTTTAGTTCTTTTTGAACTGTCTAAAGTTGAACTGATCATATCGTATCAGCTATGTATTATCACTTCCGTAAGTATACGATTGTATGAGCAACAAAGGAAGTTGCTTATTCCCATTTCTTCTCCTCTTTTTTCAAGGGACTTTGTTTTGTGTTCGCAATTCCACTAACTGTGAAGCTTTTGGAGAAAGAGAATGAGCCCGAATCCGAAATTCAAGTTTAAATTTATATAAATATTTTTAATAAATTCTTTTATATAGTTGGTTTTTTTTTTTAGCTAGTTAAGCTTACATACGGGTGGGATGACAAGTTTTCGATTGTAAGTTAGATTTTATTTGGTGAAGATTTCAATAGAATTATATAATTCTGTCCTTCCGTCCTTCTGTCCATCTGTTTAGCGGTCTGTCCATATCGATAAATATTGGTTAAGATCATTCATATCTATTGATTTGTAGATATTACAAACACATCAGAATATTCTCTACTCATATTATTCTAGCAGATCACACTGACTTTTATTTCTATTGGAATGGTTTCATTTCAAGTATGGTAATTTTTTGTATAATACTTGCGTATTTCTCGAGAGACCTTCCGTTGACTTTCCAGCCCTAATGGCGTGGAAAGTGTGCTTAATTTATTTTTATTATGCCAGCTTAACAGCTTTATTTGCAGAATTGTCTTAGACTTTAGATTCGGCATAAGAGATATGAGTGTTATGTGAGCCAGTATCTGTGGCCTATCGAATTACATGCGATACTATGGGCACAGCACGCCCGCAGGATAACAGCAGCAGCAGCAGCAGCAGCCAATAAAGATGATGATGACAAGATAAACGAAAGTTTGCGGCGAAACAAGGGGAAGGGACAGGGGCAATGCGAAATTATCGCCGACTCTGGTTGCTTTAAATGAAATTTAACGATGCACACAAATAATGGCACTTTGCATTTTAAAGCACTTTAACGATGCGACGCGGCGGTCAGAAGTCAAGCGCAACGGATGCGACATTGACATTCAATTGGTTAAGAGCAGAGGAGCGCAGAGGACGATGATGTCCTGGCAGCGCTGCTGTGAACCGCTGAACTGAACTCTGATGCTCATTATACGCATTTCCATTTGACACTTTTATTGGCCCAGCTGTCCAGGAGCTGATATTTCACACTTGATTCGCTGGCAGAGGGCGAAAATTAAATGCGTAATGCTTGGCCAACATTTATGCGGGTCATTTTATGGCCAGAAACGGTAGCGGATGCGGATGCGGTTACGGATATCAACCGATAAGGCCATTAAAATATATGTATATATATATTTATATATAGCAGCAGCACTTTTGCCGGCCATCAACTGAGCCAAAGCGCCAAATGCCCTCAGGCACTCAGCCAATTACGTAAATAAAAAGAAATATGTTTGCACCCAGCTACCGTCTACTACTTATGTGGCAAACGTGTCAAAGTGCTGAAACCGAAATGCAACAGCTTTTTGCGGGTCTATGCAGTCGCTGAGTGCCTCATTAGGCGTGTGAAGCGGGCGTCTTTCCTTCCCCCCACCCGAGGTGTTGAGCGTAAATTGTCTGCGAGCTCAAATTTAATGGGCATTCCAAATTTAGAGGATATACATACAGTTTCGATTGTATGCATGCTTTATACAAATCGCATAATTAAAGCTGTGCGCCGTGGGCGATTTTCATCATCAGCAGCTGTCGCTGCTGCTGGCCTCCAAAAAAGCAGCAGCAGCATGTTGTCGCTGTCCTTGGCAGCGTCCAGGCGCATATCCTGCGGCTGATTAAAATCTATTAGAGTCAAAGCAGATGTAAGACACTGCAAGAAAGAGGGCGGGAGGCGCAAGAGGAGAGGAAGCGAGACAGAATGCGGTCTCCTGGCCAATGACTCAGGCATGTAAATGTCGACGCAATTGAAGTGCATGCGGCGGAAACTTCCAACTGACTCTAACTTAGGCATGCAAAGAGTCTAACTAGATTCTTATTGGATGTGACCAACAGCGAGCTGAGCTGAGTAGATGCTCAAAATATAATATTATATCGATTAAAATTTGAATTGTTTTCATTATATTATTTATATATTATAAATTAAATAAATATATAGATTATTAATAAACATTTTTGATTTATTATTATTTTTTAAATATTCATTATATTTATATAGAGATATATAAATTTACAGATTATTGATAAACATTTTTGATTTATTATTATTTTTTAAGTATTCATTATATTTTTATAGATAAATAAATTTATAGATTATTGATAAACATTTTTGACTTATTATTATTTTTTAAAATTCATTATATTTATATAGATAAAAGTATATAAATAAATCTTTCGGTTGTTAATAAAAATTAGTAATTAATATATATTTTTTAATAATTTATATATGATAAATGGATAGCTAGAAGATATATTTAAAATTAATTACTGATTTATTTATATCGAAAATTTAAAAAACATAAAAAAAAAAAAAAATTTAAAAACATAAATGCAAATTTGATTTATATTGTTAAATTATTGATTTTGAATATTTGCTTCACTTTATTTATAGTTGATAAAGCTTTGATAGATAGGTACTAAGGAGAACTTGGCTAAAAAAACTAGAACGACTTAATATATATAAAATGCAAGCTGTTCGCCTTGTCTTTCATCATGCCATTACATTTGTCACTCATCGTGTCAAGGTAGGGCATTCAGCTGCTGCTTTCTCCTGCGCTGCTTTAGTCTTTTGCCACTGCCAAAAGTCGCACACAAAAAGTTTGAGCGCAAAGTTTTTAACGGAAATTGTGCAGCTGTTTTGTGTGTGCGATGACAAGGCTGCGACAGTGGGGGCGTGACAGCGGGGGCGTGTTGCGAGCGGCATATGGCAAGCCCTGCACTTGTTGGCTGCCCACACACACACACACAGACTCCAGCACACAGCTATGTATGTACATCATCAATTGCAGACAGCAAGTGTCTTAAAAATTTCTTGAAATTTTAATTCAAAGGCAGCCCAGAGCAACACTTACATACGTATGTACATATGTATGTATGTATGTAGCATACCTATAAGGTATATGCATCTATCTAGACCTGAGTAGCTATCGTTATCGAGCATGTGCCGGCACTCAATATGAATTTTCATGATTAAGGCGCGTGTCGGTCGGCGCTCTGCCATTTTATCGCTCGAAGACAGCGCCGTTCCGGGAATGTGAATGTGTCGCCGGTTTGGTTCGGCTCGCTCGGTTCGATGAGAATGGGAGCGGAGAGCGTTTTTCTTATAAATTATCGTATGGTAACAAATGTGTCCGCACAGCCATTGGCACGCATGCATAATAAAGTGATTTTAAAGGGCACTTTTCCTTCCCACTTTCCCGCACGGCTGCGTAAAATTTCCATTTGTGTGTGTAGATGGCGACGGGTGGAAAGGGGAAGGGTGCCAAAGACGGCACTCAACTTTATTGGAAATGAAAGTTAAGGGAACGCTTCGGTCTGGAGTGCACACATGTGCGCTCCAATGTTAACTTGGCTTTAACAATTCATTAAAATTTCATCTAAATGCTGCACTGCCAAGAGTAATCCACTTTGTTATTAACTGTTATTTACAAATGTGCAGCTAGTGTCAGGGCCGGCAAATGCAGGACAGCAAAAATATATTATTAAATGCAGCGCAAAAGCGTCAAGTCATAAACTGCTCATCAGTCTTGGCGCAGGATCAGCAGCAGGAGCAGGACGGCAGGAGGGTGCGGTTCTCCCTTTCTTTTAGCTGTAATTATGCGCGTCGCAAAAAGTTTACTATCACAACTCATTCTGCGTCTCATCCTGCCCATGCACGTTGTCATTGTCTCGACGCGCAGGAAGTGCCAAAGCGCTGCAGGGCCAAAACCGTGAGAGAGAGAGAGAGAGAGAGAGAGAGTTGCCAGCTTGGTCCTTGATAGTCCTGACTGGCTGGCCATAGTCCTTGGCGCCTTTTGACGCTGATAATGCAATTTCCGCTGCGCGTAATTTACTGTTATGCAATGTTTCATTTTATTTCTGCCCTCCGACTGTGCCACACTCATTCATTTTTTTCTCTCTCACCCTCTCACTCTCTCTCTCTCGCTCTCTTGTATTGTTCTTTTCTTTTTAAGCGCCCGAGAGCATCAATGCTAGTTGTTGGCTATTTATCTACATAAAGTTAATTGAAAACATTCAAATGCCAGAATCTGCTCACACTCTCACACCCACTTCCCACAGTCTCTCTCTCACTCTCCCACTGTCTCTCTCTGTCTGTGATGCTGCGTGATGTGTCAACATCTTTCGCTTGCCGTATAATCCC